TTTCTAAAAAAGTAACTAATTCGTATACTTGTATGAATTTTAATTTGTATGTTTTTTTATTATTTTGCGTTCAATATAGGTTGAAAATGATAAGTTTTGTATAAATAATATTATTCTTTAAAGAAAACACATTTAACGTTTAGAAATGCGACAGGTCGTTATCAAAATTAATAAATGAATATAGGTATTGTGCATTTTAAATTACTAAATATGACGGAAATAACAGACAATTATTGAAGATATGTATTCCTCTTGGTTTAAGAGGTAATTTACCGTCGTAAAACCTATATTTGCTAAAATTGCGTTTCGAACCGTGTCGAAAGATTCTATTCCATTTCACAGCTCAAGCTCTCAAGTAAATATCACAGAGGAAAATTCAAACGCTCTTTCCGTTTCCGAAGCGACGAAAGTTCCAAGCTTCCAATATTATACATATCACGAAAGAAAACACGTGGCAAGAATATTAAAATATATAGTTTACAAGCACGTCTCACTCCGACGCTGTTTTCCTGCTACACGAACATGGCTATCGAATAACGACTAATCTAATTGATTGGCAATCTACACCTTCGTTAAGATTCAAAGCGACTGCTTGAACCGTTTTCGTCCACCACTCCCGTAAGATCCTACCGTTTTACGATCGATTCGGTTTTCATTAACATATCTATATTTTGCTCCATAGATTTTAAAATTTCCGTCTATTGTACATTGTAGAAGATAGTGTTTTACAGTTTTAATAGGAAATTCCCATTTTCCGTAGGCGAGGGGGCAGACATATTACCATATTTGTTTTATTAACTGATTGGTCTAATAACGACTCGAAATTTCGATTAAATCAAACCTACATGTTTTTAAATTAATTTATGATTTTTCATAACTAACTATATTTTTCACAATTATTATACGTGACAACGTTATATGCATTAAATCAATTTCGAATTACATTGATTGATTAGAGCAGCAGCACGGAACGCTGAGGATGTTAGTTCAGTCCCGGCCAACTTCAATGTTTTTTTTTGTCAGTATAAATCAATTTTTATTTAAATACTTTTCTAATATATTTTGAATGTCATCTGAAAATTTGGCTTTTAATTGGGTGGGTAAAGAAATGTCTGTAAGTTTAAACTTTGCAGCAGCAGCCGTGGTCACGGGAAGACTGCTGCTGCAAAGCATCCGAAACGTCGGGCCGAAGTAAAAAATCATTTTCAATAAGTTTAACTAATATCGCGTTTTAAACCGTTAAAGTGTTTTATTTAAATGTGTACTACTCGCGTAAACTATAGACAGTATTTAACTATTTGTCTGTAAAGAGTGACGATCAACAATCTCCTACTCCAAGCTTCTTTAAAACTATGTTTAAAATTGAATCATTCAGAAATAACTTAAATGCTTTAAAAATGTACATTACATTGTAATAGCCAACCAAATAGCTACGTTTGGTTATTTTAAAACAAAACTAAACATTGTTCGTCGCGTCTCGACAATCTTATCTCATTGGAAACAGTAGATTAGTATTTGAAATTATATAGGATTATCTCCGGCGAATGATAAGTAAACGTTGTATAAAACTACTAAGAGGTTGAAAGTTATATTTATTATTGAAATTCATAAAGCGTACAAATTTACCTTAATAGTCAAACAAACATAAATACTTATTTGGTTGCCACTTGCCACACTTCTAATAAAGATGGGACACGGTTCGTGTTGCTGAAGATTGGCTTTGATAACAGAACGTCACAGTTACGAGTCTTGCGAGATATTAAATACGTTTTCATCAAAAACAAAATAATGCATTTTGAAGCCTTCTGTGCAAGGTGAATTATTAGTTACAGTTAAGTTCTAAAACACATTTCGAAGTGTTAAAAGAGAGAATAGTTCGACGGCGCATCTGGTTACATGTTTTGTAGCTGGGTTATTTCACCTCGTCCTGTCTCCGGTTCCTTCTGCTTGCCAAAGGAACCCAGAACCTCTTGTTTTTTGACTTCTCAGGTATTTAGGTCCTTTTTTTCGATCCAATACTACTTTAATTAGGATAATAGATGGAAAATGAGAATCAGCTAGCGCGAACAATTTGCATTGTGAAATCCTGCCATTAGATATTATTAGCTAATTGGAGATTTATTCAGTTCCGAGAAATATCCGGATTTATATTTTACTTTCAAAGCTTCATTTACCATTAAAATCATGTGAAAACTTTAATATTGTTCACATGTTACTACACATTATGGCAGTATATAAATTAAAATCGATTGTAAATTGACGACACGGGCAGAACTTGAACCGACATCGTCAGCGTTCCGTGCTGTTTATTTTTTTTTCGATTTTTAAATTATATAGGTAATGCCTTCATGTGCAATAACATATAAAAAGAATACGATTTTCAAACTTAATATAGTTCAATTAAAAATATTACGAAACGTCGAGCCGTAGTGAAAATAATTTTGAAATAAGTTTAATTAAACTTAAATATATTTCGCATTTAAATACCGTTAAAGTGCTTTATTTAAATGTGTACTACTCGCGTAAACCACAGACAGTATTTAATCTTGATGTTTTAAGAGTCCTAAACATGTGGTCATTCACATTATACCGAAATGCTAGCCTATTATTAATTATTATTTTTAGTAGAGACTTGCTAATTTAAAATGGCAATAAAATGCTAACTAGAACCATTGGTGCGTTTATACAGAACATAGGGTTGTATGACTGTGATATAAAATTTGATGTCCAAGAAGTTATTTTATGGATCAATTCAGAAACTAACTAGTTATTTCAATGGAAAACTATGAACGGTTTAAAAAACGAACTAGTTTATTTATTTTTAAATTATTTTAACATACGAAACGTCAGGCCGTCGTTAAATAATTTTATTTTATTTATTTTTATAATTATTAGAGACAATACTCAACCAGTTATTAATCATAAAATTATACTTACTTTAATTTAAAATAAAACACTTTTTAACGGTTTACAAAGTTTATTTTACTTACGGAAAATTCCATTAGCACAGTTAGAAGTTGGCATAAAGTCTCCGAAACGTGGAATCGGAAAATTAATTACTTATTAATATTTTTCGTATCTTGCGAGAGTTTTTATTAGCAACATCACTCGCGTAACGTACAGATAAAATTTACTTGTACTTCGTACTTTAAAATATAATATTTCTACACTAAAATTATATTTTTAAATTATAAACACAAAAATTTTACTCTAAGATACTGTCCACACATAAGTACCTTATTAAGTATATTATAACGATATTAAACATCTAAAAACTTGTTAAAGCAAATATTTTTACCCTGTGGAAAATATAGATGCATATATCATCGTATGACGAAAGACAAAACATCATGTTCACGTTCCCATCCCTAAAAAGCTAATGAGAGCATTAAATTGAAAATAGTGAGCATTGGAGCTAATTGAGTCCTGCATGTCTTTTAGGTCGCGGTCTGCTTTAAACACTGGAGTCTGAGCTATATAGCTTTACGCCGCGTCGCGACGCGTGACGTTAGATGTTGTTGTAGTGTTTTGTTCTACAATGCCTAACATAAATTAAACAAAAAATGCGGATAGGACCTAAACCGGCGTACACGGAAAATTATGTCATTCTTTTTTAACACAACCTTTGTAACCCCTTTCAGCGATCGTGCATGAGTGGGACTTCTACTTTCTACTGACGTTCACTTTGCTGAAATAACATCCTTATGTGAATGTCAAACTAAAGGAATTTTAATCTGTTCATTTGCTTGAATTCTGAATCTTTAGGATTTTTATTAATTTTACCATGAAATTTTTGTTTTTACTAAATGAATTTGAGATGGATCATTAATAGAATATATAATCCAGTGTCTCAAAGGGTTTTTAGTGTGAATCAATGTGAACCTTGTGAGAAAATCACGACTTCATTTAAATTATGATTCTTTACCAAAATGACAAGTACGAAAAAATATACCAGCTTATATGAGACAATGCAGTAATTTTGTCTATCTTCTCACAGTTTAAATATTTCAATTACAAAATACATCTTTTAGTTCTCGGCTTTTAAATAAAGAGATTCATTGTATGATGCTATCAGATGTAACGTTTGTTGTTCTACGCGACTTACGGCGTTAATATGAGGCCACAGACTAGTAAAATCAATGCTGCTAGCATTATATTTACGACAGATTACATCCGCTTGGTCACATCGGGATTGTTTTTTTATTGCAACGATATGAATTCCTTGTTACCTACAACGGAATTGCACGAAGAAATTTTCGTCACACGCCTAAGAAATTCTGATCTATTTCGATGTAGTCTAGATACTGTGATATTTCCAAAAAATAAATATAAGGCCTTTGCAAATACTAACGCTAGGCTACCGTTAGGAGCATATAACAGGAAAAAGGTTTCTTATATTTTCTTAAAATTTAAATGTTTAATTTAATCCTGCATTTTTTGTTTCGTTTTGTTTGCGTAGTCACGTGTGCTAAGATGAACAAATAGGTATCTTAATGATTATTTATTTTAGTACTATCTAAGCAATATAAAATACATGTTTACATAAAACTTATATTACATGTAATTCACATTTGTATGTATCTATAAAATGCATTTTCAACCGATGCCTGTACCTACTGTTGTTTAATGAACTCTTAGTTGGAAAAGAATATACGTTTATTATAACATATAATATAGTAAATAATGTTAAATCGTATATAAAACTGCCTGCAAAGTTAATCAATATTTAAACGATAACGATGCTATGAACAAAAATATGTAGGGCAACTTAAAATACGAGGAACAAGACTGTACAATAGGAGAAAGAAGGAGTGGCGGCGAGTTTCTTGCCAGTTCTTCTTGTTCGCCCTTGATTTGAGAACTGGTAGTAAATGTAAAGTTAAATTCTTGACTTTTGTAACGTTCATAAGTTACCTTCGTGATGTTTTTACTCTTTGACTTTGATTTGATTAGCATATTTTTATAAAGCCCTTATTTTAAACACCCTGTTGGAATTGCAGGCCTTCCTACCCCAACTGACGGCTGTCGTCGCTGTCTTAGCTCTGTCGTCCAGCAGCATTGTCAAGTCCCCCAGCAATGATGACGGGAACTTCGAGTTGCTGATCTTGCACAACAATGACATGCACGCCCGCTTCGAGCAAACTTCGCAACTGAGTGGAGCCTGCACAACGGCAGATAGAGATGCTGGCAAATGCTATGGGGGGTTCCCTAGAGTGGCTCATGTGTAAGTAATATATATAATATGCACATTTATTACAAGTACTAAACGATTTGTATCGCAGCATAGAAGTAAACCTTGCCAACTGTTTGTAAGCATTTAAAAAAAAACACGTTTAACGGTTTAAAACGTGAAATGTGTTAGTTGAACTACTTCGCACTGCTGCAGCCGCGGTCGTGGCAGTGGCACCATCAACACCATCCGAAACATCGGCCCGTAGTTTGAAACCTTTGTAACCTATCGCGTCTTAAACCGTTAAATGTGTATGTAAACTATAAAATTAAAGTATTTTATTTATTAACGATTGGAAAAATCGATTACGCGAACGAGGAGTCCAATCCGGTTACCGCGTAATGTATCATCGTTTTTATATATATTATAATAGACAGCATTGATATTAAATTGCACAAAGTGACTCTTTATTTGCACTCATATAACTTATTATTCTTAAACGGTCTTTACTATTTAGTCGCCACAATTTAAACAAAGTATTCACGCTATTATCCAGCAACACTGTATAAAAACTTATTACACAACGACACCTTAGTACGCTTCTATTTAATTCAAAACAGAATAGGTAAGTAAAAACCTTAACTAATGCAAATTGAGTATGTACTTACCAAATACTCTATACCAAAATATTCGTGCAATTTCATAAACTTTAATCAATGTGACACTATTGGATCACAAAATTTACTAATTTTATTTCCTGTCTAGTGCTACAATATTTTTTACCTTAAACTGTAAAAAAACCATTAATAAATTACGTTAATTAGCAATTGAAATTATCTCTTAAATAAATATAAAGCGGTGAACTTAGAACTGTATATACTTATATATGCTCCTAATAGGAGGGCGGACACATTTGCGTGTCTTAAACCACTAAGGCTTTCTCACTTTTATTATTGAGTATTTAGTATTTAGTAACATCAAAAGACCTACTACATACAAATAGTAGTAATAGTATCCTCGATTTTACTATTTTATTAGTACTAGGTCTTTTTGTCGTTAGATTTTTATTTCTTGCGCACGCGTTCTCTAAATTATCGTCAATGTTGACAGAATATCTTAAAACCATAAAAAAGTTTCACCATCGTATTTACTTCCCTTTTAGGGCAAAGCATTAGAACCTGCATTTTAGTTAATGTTACCATATTCGTAATAACATGACATAACATTTCACGTTTATCTATACTATTTATAAAGTTTATATACATATGAAGCTGAAGAGTTAGTTTGTTTGTCTGTTTTGGGGAATTATTTGTGGGTTGCCGTTGCGAACACTACAAACACGGTTTAAGATAGCCAAAATATACGTATGAAATAATTATTCCCTCTACTAATTATTATCTACGCGGACGAAGTCGCCGACGCAGCTAGTGGCTTACAAAGTAACCGAGTAATATAGTTAGAATATCAAATTTCATACAAAGATTATGTGATACACGAACAAACTTACTGATAGAAAAGAAATACATTTACGATATCTATGATAGTTTAATCGTCGCGCGGTATCTCGTCGGTAGCACTTTACCTTGTTTCTATTCGATAAATAGTAGAAATTACTCGGCTTTAGTCAGTACATATAAGTCCGCTTAAAAGCTACATATAGACATACTTGTAGAAATGTGAGATATATTTCACATTTTTTCAATGAACAAGATTTATATCGCTGTAAATTTTTCGTATCGTATAAAACAAACAAATAGAAGCTGGGGTTCACTTCAGATGGAGGATGAGCCTCAACAATATAGCATCTTGGGTCTTCACATAATACAGGACACTGACCCAATCCATAATCTATACCGTATGCCAGCTGTTGAGACAGGATCTAACGTGTTTTAAAGAGTCAAAAAATGATGTAGCAAAATCTCGCATTGACTAATGTCAGTTTTGTAAAGACCTAATCAGTTTCGTGAATACCAACTACGACGGAACAGATAGCGCTATCGTAGCATTTTTTTTACTTTGACATTAGGTGTTGACTTCGGTTACTGGGAGACTAAAGAGATTCTTAGTCTCCAAGTAATACGTCTCGTTTTAAACCGTTAGACGGGCTTGTCGGTCTGAGTCAATGTATGTGGGTTCGATGCCCAACGGGTGTAGGACACGTTCGGCATCGAACCTCGAACCCGAATTTCTAATTTTTCAATTTACAATTTGTCTGAGACATGTTGGACTTCGTCTGGAAATCTGGATATAAAATGGGTGGTGGGAATATAGAAATTCCGTCGCGGTCACGAACCACCGTCCACAGATAAAAAAGCCGTGAAGCTTAGTCGCGTTTTGGTTTCAGGCTGTGGATTTCCGCATATATACAAATTTCTTCAGCCTGTAGCTTGGGTATATCCTACCATCAAATGACCCCCATGCCGTCTGTCTCTTATTACCTGAAAGAAAAAACGTGTTTTATATAAAATGTACACTACTCGCGTAAACTACAGACGGTACTTAACTGCAACACTGTGCTTTCCAGGGTAAAGGAGGCGCGTAAAGCCGCCGCGTCCGGTGAGGGACCACCAGTTTTATATTTGAACGCCGGCGACACGTACACTGGAACCGCCTGGTTCACCATTTACAAATGGAAAATCGCTGCTGAATTCCTCAATGCACTGCAACCAGATGCTGTCGTGAGTATCATCTTTAGAATGAATTTTCATCCTCAAGTGGCCTTGAGTGTCGTTGTTTTACGGTGGCGTTATCTTGTATTTTATACATAAGTGCCAGGTATTAGATGATAATATGTGTTTCTGTACGGTCTAGTCTAGTGTAATAAAGCAAGTGTATTACGTGTTTTATATGTCTAAATGACACGCTCTGTGCTAGGTACTTCTCGCTTTAAATAATTTTTTTTTATACTTATTGGTATAAGCCAATATTTTTTTTATATAATCATAATATAATATCTCATGAAATATTTTTTTCGTGTTTTGAAAGGTTTCTTCAGGGTTTAAAAAAAAATCAGGCGATTTTTTTTTAATTTTCCTATGTGTTACTTATTCTGAATTTCATAAAAACAATAACACAATCCATCGTTTATGGACGGTTTTCGTCCCGTTGATAAATAAACTAAAATTAATTTTAAATTCTAGGTATTTCTAGTTTTATCGAAAGAGAACCTGTTTTAATAAAAATATGTTATATATGTCGTTCAAGTACTGTGTAGACCGAACAACCATCAATTCTGAACAGTATACCGGGGACAATAGCATGCCCCTGTATGGGCCAAGGGGCAGAGGGCAATAATCAACTACTTATCTGTACGTATTTGTAAGTATTTGGACAAACTTCTGTCCCCTCCCAGACCAAAATTGTTTTCTTTCCATGTTGTTCGAACCCGAGACCTTTGACGTAACAGTAGGCAGAAATGTTCCGTTTCAAATTAAACAGTTATAATCAAACGAAGTCACAAAAGTAACAATTTCATGATACCTTTTTGCTGACGTTATTTTTATACAATTATGGAATTTAGGATAATACTAACAAAAAACCCTAGATTTAAATTTTTCACATTGCTTTGTATAAATTGAAATTAATATTAGATTGAAATGTCTAATATTAAATTAAATTTTAGAGCATGACTCGAACCCTAATGCAAAGCCGGGAGCTATTTCTTCCGTCAAAAACAGCTTAAAAAGATCTTAAACAATGTTTTAATTCAATTAAAATCTAGTATAAATATAATGTACGATTTAGATAGAGGTCGCTGAATTTTTTTTGGTTTGATGAAAGATATAAAGAATAAGATACAAAGAGATTTGTCAGAAAACTCTAGGACTCTACTGAGAATCGGTTAGAGATTCCTGATATTCTTAAGTACGAACTCCAAGAGCAAGTTGCTTAGCAGTTGCAAGAATACTTAACGGACACGTAAATGTTAAACATGGCGCTTTAATAGAAAATATGAATTTAATTTCATTAATAATTAACTGACACTGATTACGGTCTTAGAAACAGTACGTTATACGAGGCGACGTTATTATTTTACGTACGTAACATACGTTAACAGGCAGGTTGCAGCAACCGAGCCCAAGATGTGTTGTACGGAATTGTGGTCGCTTTGTGGAAATGTAAGCTATGTCGGCCTCCTTGTGTTGTGACGTTGTGTTTACATGTTTGTTTGTGAACGTCTGGTGAAGCTTTAAGCTGTTTAAGAAAATGAAATTTGGAAACGTCCAGCAACTTAGCCTATGCGAAGATTAAACACGAAGTGAGATAGATTATGGACACTTTTAAGAGGCTAACGACTTTCGTATTTCAACAGAACAAATTTGTATACAAATAAAACACATGAGTGTAGTAAGCGAAAATATTTTGACCCGACCGCGACGTTTTGAATCGTTCCCAGCCGCTAGTCACGAGGGGCCTATAAATATTATAACGCAAAATGCGCTTTAAATCATGAAAATTTTGAAAACTTTATTATTTTTTACATGTTATTGCACAACAAGGCACTATATAATTTAAAAATCGAAAATAATTTGAAAAAAATTTCGCCTGGGGCAGGACTTGAACCGGCATCATCAGCGTTCCGTGCTATTGCTCTCCAATTGAGCTACCGTAGCTCAGTGAGAGCAACAGCACGGAACGCTGACAATGCCGGGTCAAGTACTGTCCGAGGCGAATTTTTTTTTTCAATTTATTTTCGATTTTCTAATCCTTAAAATTTTCTAATTTAATTTGTACTATTCGCGTCATCTAGAGATAATAGTATATACAGATTTCTCAGACGTAGCTTTTGGAGACGAATTGCTTTTTCTTCCATTGGAAAAAAGTCGTTGTGAAAGCTTTACCCCTAAGGTATTATACTCGAAATACTTATAAAGTATATTAGTTATTATCTACTCGATACAGGTAGATTATGATAGAGGTAATAGGTCTTTAAATTACGTTTCAATACAAAATAGGTAACGAGAAGATAATACTCTCCGTGGATTGGCATGTGTCTTATCAATTTTCTTATATCTTTACAAAACCTATTTACATAGCAAACAAGATACGAACTGTTACATGTTATTTGAGAACGTTTATAATCATGAATGTTAAGTTTATAAATAATAAAGTGTAGTGTTTATTTTCAACTGTTAAAGAAGTTACAATGCGTTAATCCCACCAATTAAGAAGTTTAAATACAACACTTTAACGGTTTAAAACGCGATATATATTAGTTAAAGTTATTTGAAAACTATTTATTATTTATGCTTATACCACGGCTGCTGAAGCACCCGAAACGTCGGGCCGTTGTTAAAATAATTCTCAAATAAGTTTAACTAATATTTATCGCGTTTTAAACCGTTTAAGGGGGTTTATTAAAAACTGCCGACAGTATATAAATAAGAAGTTATCTGAAAATTACATTCTAGAACAATTAAAAGAGTAAAATGTTGAGTTAATGAAATCCAACCTTCCTGCCGTTCGTTGTATCTATTTCCACATCAAAATGAATCCCGAAAACCGAGCACAAAGGCCGGTTAAATCAATCACCAAAATGAAATGACATTTTCATAGCAGTTGAAATTTTCTATCGTTGACACGCCTCGCTGCAGCTATATTTATTACATACAGACCTATGTACACTTGAAAATCAATAACGAGACTTGTTGAATGTTCACTTACATAATGTGATATGATATACAAGCTGTAGATATTGTCTTTAGCGTCCGCGAGTAGTACACATTAAAATAAAATACCTATATAGAGCAATGTCGGGTCGTTTGTTAAAAATATTTCGTATTAAACCGTTAACAGTGTTCATTAAAACCAAAACTAAGTAAATACACCTACAGAGTAGTGTGACATCGCATCTTATTATGTCAAAATCGTAGACTCTTTGGTACCGAGATATCCATGTCCTTTGAGAAGATTAAACATCTCGTTTGCGTCACAATAAACCAATAAAGTGAGAATGGATTTCAACATAAACTTTATCATGCGAGCAATGTAAGTGAAACTGCATTTAATTATTTAACTAACAAAGGCGATCAAATAGTTGTCACCAAATTACGTCTAACAAAACAACTAACAACTTAAATATACTAACACTACACATACACGGTAGGACAATGGTGGTGTTCCGCTTGTTTTTCTGTTTTCGGTGTTGGGTTGGTTATAAGACTAATTTTAAGACTTGTAAAATATGTAAAATGCTTAGTCTCATAGCATTATATAAGGATAACCCTTTACTAACTTGAAAAATTAATAAATTCCTATAAAACTTATAAACCTCATATTAGTTATACATATTCTGATTTTCGCGTTTCATTTCAGTCAATGGGAAACAACGAATACGACAATGAGAAAAAAGATTTGACACCTTTTTTGCACGATCTACGCACCGCAGTAATAGCTACCAATGTGATTGTACATTCTCCTGAAGCGAAGGAAAAAGTTAAGAGATCAGTAATAGTGAAAGTAAATGGTATATCTATCGGTATTGTGGGCTATCTAACCCCCACGACATCAAGCCTGGATGATGCTGGAAATATTGAATACATAGATGAGGTTTTAGCCCTTACCGAAGAAGTCGCGACGCTTCGAGAACAAAATGTTAACATTATTATCGCACTCGGACAATCGAAAGAAAAAGATATTGAAATAGCACAAGAAGTAGAGGGACTTGATTTAGTTATAGCGGGAAATCATAATGTTTTCTACACCGATGGAACTTCTGTTAATAACGGCGAAGAGGATTCAGAATACAAAACGGTTGTTACACAGAAATCTGGACGCAGTGTTTCAATTATACGATCATATGCCTATTCCAAATACCTGGGCAAAATAATAGCTAAATTTAATAAGGACGGGGTGTTAGTAGACGTAGATGTAGACTACATTCTCCTCGACAAAACGATTCCACAGGACGCTGAAGCTGTACAAATGGTAGAAAATTTAAGAAATAATTTAAAATCTTCCGCAGTCACCGTTGGGAAAACTGCCGTCGTTCTTGACGGAACGACTTGCAAACAAGAAGAATGCAATCTTGGTAATTTAGTAACGGATTCGATTATCCTTCACTACTCCGTCAAATATTCAGGAGAACGTTGGACCGACGCGCCTATAGCATTCGTCCACGGCGCTGCGCTGAATGGTAAAATCGCTCCTGCACAACGCCCAGGTGACATTACGAGAAACGATTTAATGAGCGTTATGCCTGCCTCAAATAATTTAATAGCAGTGACTATGAATGGAGTAATTTTAAAGGAAGCTCTAGAACATTCAGTATCGAGTTATACAACAAGGGGCTCGGATGCCTTCCTTCAATTCTCCGGTATTCGCGTGACGTATAATTTTGACGAAGCTCCCGGCGCTAGAGTCGTTACAGCCGTGGCCCGTTGCTGGAACTGTACTATTCCAGAATTTTTCCCTGTAGAGGATTCAAGGGACTACAAAATAATAATGCCTTCATCTATAGCTAATGGTGAATTCGGTTATTCAATGTTCGCAAATTTACAGAAGGAAAGCCTCGAGTTTGACGAAATCACTTCTACATCTGAGTTTATTAAGTTAAGGAGTCCTGTGTATCCAGAAATCGCAGATCGCATTTCTTTACAAAATGCAGATTCTGTACCCGGTTCTGCCTCTACTGTTAAAGCAACCGCAATCCTTTTATTCGCATTCCTAGTTAAAACTATTCTTGCTTAAGCTTGATTTATTGAAACCTTTTTAATTAAATCTTTTATTAATATTACTGATATATGTATTTTATTTAGTTACTGTTTTGTTACTAACATACTGTACCAGTAAGTATCATTTAAAATATGATGCTTCTAATACATTGTATGAATACAAGTATTTTATTTTTTTCACCTTATTTCTAACAGTACAAATTCTCCTTTTAATTTTAACAGTAATCTTTCCATCTAAATTTTCTTATTTTTTTTACATCTTTTTTACATATTTGTCTTATACAGCTCACATACTTTTATATATTTGTACATAGACTTTATTAATGCATGTAATAAAGACGAATGAAAAAATCTAACACTGCTTCGTTTAGACATGGAACGTTAGTTAACAAGAATGATTTGGTTATATTCTTTGGGGTCCACAGTTATATAATTAATAAATTATTATTTACATTGTCTAACTTTGTTTCAGTCACTGGGAAACCACGAATTCGACAATGGGCCTTCTGGTCTGGCCCCATTCATCGCAAACTTATCTTGTCCAAATGTGGCAGCAAATCTTATTTTAGACGATGAACCAGATTTAATGGCTGAACCAAATCTAAGGAGTTCTGTTGTATTTGACATAAGCGGTGTAAAAGTGGGAGTCATCGGATATTTAACACCCGACACACAATTCCTCGCTATGAAAAATAATGTTAAGTACATAGATGAAGTGACCGCCATTAGAATAGAAATAAAAAAGCTACAAACTGATGGCGTAAACATATTCGTTGCGTTAGGTCATTCTGGCTTCCTTAAGGATTTAGAAATCGCTAAAGAAGTTGAGGATATCGATTTAGTAATCGGTGGTCATACGAATACGTTTCTTTGGAATGGTGCTTCTCCAGATTTAGAAAAAGCTCAAGGACTATATCCCCCACATTGTTACACAAACTTCAGGCAGACGTGTCCCTGTAGTACAAGCGTTCGCCTATACAAAGTATTTAGGATATCTACATTTGGAGTTTAACATTGAAGGGGAAATCGTAAACATTGGCAATAATAACCCTATACTGTTGAATAACAGTATACCTCAAGATCCGGAACTTTTATCTATAGTGAACAAATATCGAGGTGAGGTAATGAAGGTGTCGGAAATAATCGTCGGGAGCACCTCAGTTTTATTGGATGGTCAGTCGTGCCGTCTACGAGAGTGCAATATGGGTAACCTTATCACAAATGCAATAGTTTATAAATATGCGTCTACATATTCAGGACAGGGTTGGACGGATGCTCCAGTTGCTCTTGTTCAAGGAGGGGGAATCCGTGCTTCTATAAGCCATATCGAGAACACGACGAGTATTACTCAAGGCGATCTTTTAACAGTTATGCCATTTGATGATAAAGTTGTGAAAGTGACTTTGAATGGTTCAGATGTCCGTAAAATGTTAGAGCACTCAGTGTCTGAATATAATCTAATTCGTGCCCCGGGACAATTTCTACAAGTCTCTGGTATTCAGGTGGAATATGATTTGGATAAAAAGGCAGGTCAAAGAGTGTCCAAAGCTTTGATGCTGTGTGGAGATTGTAAAATACCAAAATATGTACCACTTAATGATTCAGCGTCATATAATTTACTTATTAATGGTTTTTTGTCCATGGGCGGAGATGGATTCTCAGTTTTTACAAACAAACCTGCGGTTTATTTAAATTTCAACGACTTATCCGCTACAATCGAATACGTAAATAGAACTAGTCCAGTGTACCCTGCTATTGAAGGGCGTATAATTTTACGAAACGAACAAGTCTTTAATTCGGCAGATAGAAAGTTTTCGTCAACAGTTTTAATGCTAACTTTAATCGCTTTCAAGTTAATTATTAATCATTAAATGAGTAAGTATTAAAAAAATAACTCACCTAGGATCTTGTTGCATAAGCCGAATCACTATAATAATTTACCACACAAAACACGCCATCGTGTGTCATTATTGCCAAAGGCGTTTAACCGTCACACACTAACACAACATACAACAATTGAATTGCAAGTAATGTGTTAAAGTGTTTTTTTTATCATTAAAACAGTCTACACGTTGGTCTCGTTTTTACAATTAACGATTATTTCTATGAACCGGCTTGAGGCCGAAACTGAAGCGTCTGTGGGTCTCTAACGTAGACGTCTAAACATTTGTATGAATGGTGCCATATTTTATTTTAGACTATATAATATATTTACGTTGTAAAATGATTGTATCACAGTATTATAATTAATCATCTCAAGGTATTATTAAGAATTATAGTAATTAATTGTTAACAATGTATTACTGATTAAAACTATTTTAACTTAACAATTCACTTTTATTGTTAACCAAACTGCACATTAAATTAAACAAAGAAAATAAACAGATTAATTTTCTTTTTGTGTTGATATCTGCTATTTTACAATAACCGAATATCGGTAAAAAAAAGTACGAATTAAAAATGTGTTGTTACAATAATCACTTCACGTAACCAAACTTAACCCTCAAAATCTTTTGTTGCAGTCTCTTGGAAACCACGAGTTTGATCATGGAGTTAGCGGTTTAACACCATTTATTGAAAACTTAACATCGCCTGTACTAGCAGCAAATCTTATACTTACAAAAGTACCTGAACTTGAGAAAGAAAAGAACTTAAGGAATTCCATCATATTTAACGTATCTGGCAATTCCATCGGAGTGGTAGGCTATTTAACTCCAGAAACGAAGACACTAGCTGTACCAAACGATGTTGAATATATTGATGAAGTTACGGCTCTAACAGAGGAAGTAAAAAAGTTAAAAAGCGAGGGTGTTAAAATTATTATAGCCTTAGGACATTCGGGCTATTTAAAAGATCTGGAAATAGCAAAAAAAGTTGATGGCCTCAGTTTAGTAATAGGGGGACACACAAATACGTTCTTGTGGAATGGAACCAGTCCAGATTCAGAAAAAATTATAGGGCCTTATCCCACCTATGTTACTCAAGAGTCAGGAAAGCAAGTACCGGTCGTACAAGCTTATGCGTACACAAAATATCTTGGAAAACTCCATATGGTATTCAACTTTAATGGAGAACTTATAAGCGCCGATGGAAATCCTATCCTATTGGATAACTCGATACCGCAAGATCCAGAAGTACTAAATATAGTCAACGAATATAGAGAGAAAATTTTAAATGTCACCGAAGAAGTGATCGGCAGCACGTCAGTAGTTTTAGACGGCCTCAGTTGTCAACACATGGAATGTAATTTCGGTAACCTTATCGCCGATGCTATGGTATATAAATACGCCAGTGAGTACAATGGCGAACACTGGACTGACGCCCCTATAGCTATTATACAAGGTGGAGGTATCCGTTCATCTATTTCCATATCAAACATTCCAACAAATATAACGAAAGGTGATTTAATAGCGGTTCTCCCGTTCGAAGGTATTCTAGTCGTGGCAACAATGAATGGCACGGTATTGTTGCAAATGTTAGAACATGCTATCGCGAATCTTAACGAATTGGATGCTCCCGGAGAATTTCTGCAGATGTCCGGCCTTAAGGTCGTCTATGATATAGACAGACCCGTTGGTGCAAAAGTTGTGCAAGCTGTCGCTAGATGTTGGAACTGTTCTGTGCCAGTATATTCGAAAGTAGTCGAGGAAGAAGAGTACAATATAATAATGCCAAATTTTATCGCTAATGGCGGTGACGGCTATAACATGTTCAAAGACATACCAATGCGCTCTTTAAGTTATGGTGATATTGACTGTACAAACATGTATATTAAACAACATAGCCCAGTGTGGCCGGAAATTGAGGGGCGCGTCGTTATACTTCACAAAAAGAACAAAGACTTATCCAATATGTTGCTACCACCTGCATATCTTATAGCCATCTTATCATTAGGATCTAGTTTATAGAACATAAATATAGCTCTTTACAAGTAATGTAAAAAATCTCCATCCAGTATTATTGAGCGTTAGAGACATACGAGATAGTATTATTTATTTACATAGTTTGTTAATGTAACATTTTATTAAATCAGTACTTAATATTATTACCATTTGGTTTTATTTTGATACATAATTTTTAACTAAATATGTAATAAATATTTGTAACATCTCTTTTGTTTCCTTTCAGTCCCTGGGAAATCACGAATTCGACGAAGCAGTTGATGGAGTCGTACCGTTTATAAAAAACGTAACGTCGCCTGTCTTAGCTGCGAATCTTGTCTTGGACAATGTGCCTGAACTTAAAGAGGAAACTAATTTGTATAAATCCATAATTCTGTACAAAAACGGTGTAAAAATCGGTATCGTGGGATATCTTACGCCGGACACGAAATTTCTAGCGCCCAAAAACAAAGTTAACTACGAGGATGAAATACCAGCCGTAAGGCGAGAAGTACGGAAATTGAAACAAAATGGTGTGGAAATTATAATAGCCCTGGGTCATTCGGGTTTTATTAAAGACTTAGAAATAGCTAACGAGGTCGAAGATATCGACTTGGTAATAGGAGGGCACTCCAATACGTTCTTATCTAATGTTAATACAACGGAAGTGCCAGAATTTGTGCAAGGTCCCTATCCGACAATTGTCATGCAGAAATCGGGGCGAAAGGTATTGGTAGTCCAAGCGTACGCTTATACAAAATATATGGGCAGCTTGTTTTTAAAATTCAATGAAAACGGTGACATAACCGACTTCGATGGCAAACCTATATTACTAAATCACGAAATCCCTCAGGACCCCGAGGTTCTGGCGATAGTGAACAAATATCATACCGATATCGACCGTATTAATAACGTGATCGTAGGGAGCTCTATGACTTTCTTAGATGGGGAGTCTTGCAGACTTTTTGAATGTAATTTGGGAGATTTCATCAGCGACATCATGCTCAATTATACTAAGGCATACTTTGCAGAATTCGCTCAGGTAAATATCGCATTTATTCAAGGAGGAAGAATAAGAACTTCATTAGATCAATCTCGAAAACCGTATAACTTAACGAGAGGCGATTGGATCACAGTGATGCCGTTTTCAGACACTCTTTGTATTGTGACCATGAACGGAAGTGTATTGTTGGACGCGTTGGAGCACTCCGTCGAGTCTTGGAGGAGAATTGACACACCCGGACAATTTTTACAAATGTCAGGAGTGGAGGTCACCTACGACTTACAAAAAATACCCGGACAGAGAGTATTAACCGCCAAGACTATGTGTGATAACTGTATTTCTACTGTAGATATACGTAAGGATTTACAGTACAAGGTTATTATGTCCGCGTTTTTAGCAGACGGTGGCGATGGCTATTCTATGTTTGAGGAACTCGACAAGGAATTCGTATCGTACAATGAAGTGACGTGCGTTTTGGACTACGTCGGTAAGTATAGCCCGATCAATCCCGAAGTGAACGGACGAATAAAGGTACTAAACGAAGATAAGCTGATCGATGTCTATGTGAACGATTTTGGAATAACCGACCGACGCTCAAATTCTAGTGCTAAACTGAGAACTAGCGTTGATGTTATTATAATGGTACTTGTAACAATCCATATAGTCTTAGGGTTTTACTGAATTTCTTAAAATGTAGATGAAGCACCTCCAAATCTCTGGAAATAATAGTTTAGTGCAATTTTTCACCATTCATCGTTACAATGTTATACTAAAAATTCAAACATAGTGACGTTTGTAATGCTCAATTAATTAGTACATACGTAATACGAATTATACTTAGATAGTTTTAAATAAGTTATAAAGTCTACACGAGAATTGAAAGCAAACTTTTCAGAAAATACCTTTATTGAATACGTAAAATATTTTATAAATTTTAACAAATTATAAAAATATCGTTAGATTTTCATGAAATATCAAATACTTAATACGTAATCAGTAAGGAACTATACACGATATAACAGATATAAACGATTTAAAAATCAACAAAATGCACTTAAACTCTTATGATCTTATCTATGTGTATCTCCTAGAGAAATTTGAGAGATTGATCTTAATATGTATAAGCAAAAAAAAATGAACATACGTAAAAACTAATAACACTTCAATTATTATTTTTTTAAATCTGCGATACGAATTTATAACTTGTACAAGAGTACTATGTACTACTATCAAAGTAAAAATGTACTATGTACTACTATCAAGTGTTAGATGTGTCATCTCCCACTCTGAAGAGTCTTAATACTGCCAATACTTACTTTACTGGCAATTATAAATAGACAATTCCACAATCAACATAAAAAACTCTGTAAATATGAAATCTATAAACGGACGCAATATTTAGAGATAGTATAAGCTTTAATTTAAGCATTTAACTGCACTTTCCAATCAACTGTTTCATTATAACCATGCGGTAATGAACCGCAGAAAATTGCCAAACACTGCTTCAGAGCTTCTTGACTTTCACATAACTCTATACAAGGGACATAACTCTCTAATTCCTCGCACAAATTGCAAAGTTTATTGTAGATTTTTATAGCAGTGTCCCTATCACCGACCTGTAGTTTTTCAATAATGTCTGCATTTAAGTATTTGCTTTTGGCTCGGGCGATTTTATGGGATATTCTTTTTGGACGCATAGTCAAATACGTTGGCCAGTCCCTTTGGCATGCTTCACACGTGCAAATAAATTTGTATTGAAAATGCAACGACGCACGTCGCTCTCTACACCCTTCTAAAGCATGGTGTGACCTGAAAAACATAATGAATCTTTTAATCTACCTCTTTAATATAAACATTTGTTGTTTGTTTTTACCCTAGTGTATTAAACTGTTATCTGGTTACACTATTATAAATGAAACTCGTTTATCTGTTGTGATTTTGTAACAAGCATTCGCATTTATGTTATGCACCATTAACAATGAATTTAATAAAGATATTTAAGAGAAATAGTTGTTTGAACTCACCCATAATTGTCAAACAGTTGCATTCCCTTCTTAATAGGTCTTAAGGCAAACAATTTCATTTTACTTGTATCCAGTTCACAAAATCGGACAACATTCGGTGCACAAGAATGATTTATAAGGCTGTGAAAAGCAAAAGGCGCACTCCCAATGTCCAATTTACTAACATATTTCCCATCACCATGTAAATCTGTGTTTGTACTTATGCCATGCATATTTGTGGGACTTGTCATTATATGAAGCAAAAGCAATCCAGCCACACACTGAATTACCTCAGTTTTCTGATCATCATTATCTGCATCCATAAAAGTAGTCTTGTCAAGTAGAAATTTTAGTAAAACTGCTGCTGTAACTGCTTTCTGAAATATATCTGAGACACTTCTTTTATCTATGTTCGTAGCTAAAGTATGAATAGATACATAGTATTTGGAATCATATATCCAGTTTTCACCCACTTTAACATGTCCATGCAGATCGGTGCCTACCTTGGACTCCGCATCCATAATTGTTTGGAAGAAACTTTTCCAGTCGGTGTGATCATTTCTTGCTTTGATAACAATTCGGAAGGCTAAGAGTTCAAGTTTAGTAAAACTCATATCTAGCAATGTTGGCAATAAGACACATTCTACAGAATGGTATTCATTCCAAGCATTTGTGGCACATTGCTTACTGCAGTATAAAGCGAAGCAACAGTGTTCACATGGCACGAGATTAGGTTTTCTTGAAAAACAGTGGTTGCATGCAAAGAGCAAATGTGTTTGGAGTATTAAAGAAACATAGGGCTCTTCGTCAGCTAAAACCTCACCTACATTAATATCCTCTTTGGCAATCACATGTCTACCCATGTCTTTAGAACATACGACCTGCAGTTTTGAGCTTGCACTCACATACTGCTTATCATGATCAGCTTTCATAGATAAAATGTCTAAAGCCTCCAGATCATCTGGATCTTTTGTGGTTTCATTCTTTAAAAATTTCAGACACAAATCTTTTCGGTTTCCTAACTTTTCTCTGAGTTTTTCAGAACATTGCAACACAGAACACAGATCTATGTCCTGTATGCACTCATCATATTTTTGCAGTTCATAGAAAACTGCCGACCTATTGGATAATGATAATAAGTAGTTTTCAGAATTAAAGGGAGCATGCAGAAGTGACAGATTATAATATTGCAATGCTCTATAAAAATTTTTCTTTGTATAGCACTTGTTACCTTGGTTACGGTAATACCCAGATACATCCACACTTTTCATGACTTCTAAAGTGCTTGGAAAGAAATTATATTCTTCAAAAATTTTGTACACATACATAACCCTGTCAGCGTTTGTAACCTTTTTCTTAAGCTCATTTGAAACATCTACGATTTTACCGAGTTCGGTTAGCTTCTTAAGAGCCCCCTCGTAAACCAAATCTATAATCATCTTGAAAGATGTCTCACTACGCTACTCCCTTTATTGTGATTAATTTGGGCTGCGAAATGGTTTATGTGATTGAGCAACGTCTGAAAATGCAAAATATATCAATGGATAAATCCGAAACAGGTACGTCTTCTTGATTATTTCTATTTACTTTTAGCTGTATCAAAGCGTACACGCTTGCAAATTTATTTCTATATTTTCATTTTTCAGTACTCACAGAAATAGCAGCCGTGATGTTTCATCCAAACTTGTTGGAAGAGCTATTTTTACCTCAACCGGTTGCCCCTCACGCAGCTATTAAGCAGCTTATAATAGATATTTCTCTCTCATCGATCATGAAACTAGACGACGTTTCCTTGAACAAGCTATGGGATTTAATAACAATGATTTTCAAGTGGCAAATAACTGTAACGACAAATCAAAACATTCTTGATATTACCCGGCGACATTTGAAAAATGTTGCCACACTCATGCCTTCCCTTTTCCCAAAAAAATTAATAAAAGATGCTGCAAACAAGTTCGAGATTTTGGTGAAAAAGATAACTGAACAGGAATTCAAAGCGCTTAACGAAACATTATTGCTCTGGTTTTCAGACTATTATACAAAAATATCGGTGCTTCTACGCCTAGGCTTGCAAAACAAAGACGGTTCTTTCAAATCTCCTTCGATAATCAATATGAAATTTCTTATAAATATAGGTGAAAATATTTATACTCATGATAATAGAAAGTCCATTGATGATTACGAGGTTAATACTGCTGATGATAATGAAATAAGCTGCCTTTTAGGTCCAATTACCGCCGTCTCACCGTCCAAGTTAGGGATGCTGCGCTCCTTAAATACGGTTCAGATTAAAACAGTTGAAAAACTTGAGAATAAGGAAACTAAACTGACCAACGGTGACCTGACGTTCGTTGCTGAATTGCCAAGGACTACACAAGAAGATCTTCTTGCTATGTTAGAGAATTATAGTACCCCATATTAATGCAACCACTTCAGATACTGGCAATAAAGCAAGAGGAAACGATGATTACAAAAGTTGTTGTCTTTAGTATTTTTTTTTGCTTCTACCTTGGATATTACTGTAACATAAGTGGAACCACAGATGCTAAAAGTTAAGATGTTACTGTTTATAGGTGCACAGAAGTATCTTTACTGTAAATGGGCAAGTTAAAGAAATTTAATTTTATGCAAAAAGTATTTATTGTAGAAAACTTGAAATTCCATATTTATAAAAATTTAAACTTACCTCCAGTTTAAACAGGCGCAAAAATATTTTTTGAGAAAAGTACTGAACTCAACAAATTAATTGCTTGCTGTATAAGAGTAACATAATGTATACGGGATCTTACCAGCAAACAAAATTTTTATTTTAAATGATAAAGTTCACATTTTTATTAAATACTTTCATTTTAATAAAACCATTTTATTAACACACATACAAGTAAAACAAGAAGATTTATAATAATATATCGAAGTTAATAAATAACTCCGAATTCCCGACATCTTTTAATTTATTTACTACACAACCTATCATTAATGTTACAAAATATTAATTTTAACAACCTCCTGAAACCAAGAGATTACCCTTCCTTTGTACTTAGTACACCTCGTCCATCTTAAAAATAAGTGTTCAGTACAAAAATACACATTTATCTTATAGAACTGTACACGTTTTGAGAACAGCCAAGTCTTTACGAAATTTTAATACAAAAATTAATTCTTACTATACAGTGCACTAATAATTATTTACAAACAATAATTGTCAAATGAAATCCTACTAGATAATTGTAATGTATATTTTTGAATGTCAATTTTAGGTAAAAACTACTGCCGTTATCGCACATAACTAGCTATTATTGCGCACGGTACCTAAAAATAACCGAAAACTACTGAAATTCACATTTATAGCATTTTACGACTAGAATTGCAATTTACAGTAAGAACCACAAAAAGATTATTGTCTTCCAATGTCATTATTGATAGTCATAATGTTCATTGCAGTTTTAATACACACCACCCGTTTCTTATAAGGGTTGTTATCAATTGACACTCACTTCAGACTATGTTATAATATAATATAAACTGTAATAGCTCCACATCATTTACGATTATGGACACGGTCATATATGAGGCTGCTAGAGACAGAGTGGCCTAATGACACAAAACATGATTTTTTTTTAACTTAGGCAAAAATGAATTTGTATTATCTGGGGAGTTATGGTTAGTTTAGACTAAGAAAATAAGTTAAGTGAATTAAGTTAAGAAAGTAAGTTAAGTGTGAGTTCATTGAACTTTATCTGGTGGTGTAATTTCGTTGTATGTCCAATGCCTTTTCAGCGTGACCAAAATCATTGTCAAAATTATCAAAAATCTTATTCAGTAAGAAATATAAAAATATTTGCTATTAACTGTATTATCATAGTCTGGAAAGAGTTTATCAATAAAATTGTTCTAAGTCACTTTGAGATGCACAATCACAAGAATGAATGTCTCGTCGGTGAAAAACTGGTATCGGGTAACACACTAGCGTCCCCATACACTGGGGCAGCTGGGCCATTGGACGCGTAAGGATTTCTCGACCAGGTCCGCGTTCGGAGATTCGGCGATTCCGGCAATACGGTTTGGGGCGGCTCAGTTGGGAGACGGATAGGCGCCTTCTTCTGCAGCTTCGATTGTACTGAAACAGAAGATTTTTTTTAAATGTAGCAGCATTTTTAGTGATTAGTGTACCAAAACTCTGATTGGGGTTAGGGACTCGAACTTTGATCATATTCCTCGAATTACCTAGTCAAAGTAAATTGCTGATTTCAAAATTTTCAAGACATTCCCAAGACTTTGTATCTTAGCTCATGGCCAAGCTTCAAAGTCATTAATAATTATAGATTAGGGTAGAGCTGAATCTTGGCTTCCTTGTACTTGCCTGTTCCTGACCTATATATTGTGTCGTAGCGATAATCTGCATTACTCGGCGTACTGTACTCACGCGATATTTGTTGTTTATTAACAAGCTTTTCAAGTACAGCTTGGGTGAACTTACAAAAACAAAGTCAAATCCATCCACTGAGCTAGTCGTTTTTTTTTAATATGTTGTATAAATTTGAAAATGACTTTTAACTTCGGCCCGACGTTTCGGATGCTTTGCAGCAGCCGTGGTCACGGGGAGACATGTATAAATATTTTTCCTATTATATATATATTATATTTCATATAACTGTAATCTTTTTGTAAAGATATATGTTTGAAGAAATAATAAAAAAGCATCTTACCATACAAATAGCCGACCCCAATCGCGCAGAATGTCAAAATGGTGGGGATGTAAGGCCGAAGGAGGGAAAATAGTGCTCCCAAGAGAGTCCCGCATGCAATGTCACATTCTCTCTCGACCTCCACCCTCACTTCCTGTGACGTCAGTCTGGAAATAATGCTGACCCACCCAATTCCACAAGTGACACTTTCACTTTTAACTGTCACTGTTATTTCATTATCAGTTACAACCGGTTCTAGTATCAGTCCCGGTGAAGTGGTCATTTTTATTTGTTTCAATGCTCTTGCGTGTCCCGAAATAATGAAGACAGCTGGAGGGTTGAGTAGAGAGACTTTAGACGTGGAGACTCGGATTGACGGAAGTAGAATGACCTTAGTGCAAGTCCGGAATTGGCCCCATTCCGCACACAGGTCCACCTCGATCGCTTGTGTCAGTTTTATCGCTGGGATGATTGAGCAACCCAGCTGACCTAGAAAAAATAATGATGAGCGTTAAGTTGATATTGAATAATTCTAATATGTGGTTTCCAACAATTGTATTTCAACTATTTGTGAACTAATGTGACACTTAGCAATATAAAAGATAGTTTGAAAAATACATGTATTAAGGCTTTAACTTTAAAAAGTAGCAAATAAAGATATAACTGCAACTTTTCATATGTGTTTTAAAGAAAAAGAGATAAGGTAGCATAGTGCCTTTATTAACTGAACTATGACTTGTCTAAAAATTGATCTGTTTAATAAAGTACTATCTGAAACTAAATAATCATTGCAATGAATCCACATAGAAAATTGCCACTAACCATTAGCGATATCCAATACTGGTTGGCCAGTATGCGGCGGCTTAGTCCGGCATATATAAGGCAACTGCACATCAACGCCAGCGAGCGCATACTTCTGTTCCTCTGTACAGAGCAATGGTCCTGTACCGAGCTCTGCATCTATACTAAGAGGTATGAAGGTCGACGGCCATTCGCCAGGCGAGAACTCCATCTGTGAATATAAACCAAAGGACATTTTAAATAAAATTCTATCAACCAAAAAAATATTAGACTTGACAGGTTTTATCTATGACTAGCAGTGCCAGTGACATTGTCCGCGTAGAATAGTTATTTTAGGCATCAAAATTTATTTGGGCAAACCTCTTCAACTGTATAAATCAAAGCTAATGCTCCTTGAAACATAATATTTTTGCTGTCTTAAACCATTTTCATAGCGCACGCAACGAAAATCCACAAAGATTTCCCCCTTTTATCCACATTGGCCGTTGTTTCTTCGGTCTAATTAGTTGCAGCGCGATGTTTTATAGCGTAAAACCTTCCTCGATAAATGCTCTAACCAACACAATAAAAATGGAAATTCAAATCAATAGTTCTTGAGATTAGCGCATTCAAACAAACAAACTAAATCTTCAGCGTTATAATCTTTATATATATATATATTTTTTTTTTTTTTTTGTACACCAACACTAATATATAATACAATTTAAAAAACATTTTTTTTTTTAAACCGTTATAACGGTTTCTTATAAATCTCCTGTCACGATGTTCGTCCGCTATGGACTCCTAAACTCCTGAACCGATTTTAAATTAAATTGGCACACCGTGAGCAGTCTGGTCCTACTTGAGACATAGTATAGTTTAGATCTTTAATTAAAGTCGCAATTTTATTTTATTGCAAATTATTTGTCTATAAATAATTGACAGTTACAATGGATTGAGTAAGTAATCGATAGATGGCACTGCTATAAACAATAACTTCAGCCACCGCAACGCGTGGCCGGGTGTGCTAATATTAGTATAGATTTATAAAATGATATTATCGATGTATGTGTAAGTAGTACCTTCTGTATAGGCACTTGATGCAGCGTATAGGCCGCTGTGGGCCTGTCCAGTCGCAGCACGTGCTTCGCGGCTACGTCCGTCGTGAGTACCGCGAGTGAGACTCCGCTACCCGCGTACACTTGAACTCCAGTGGGTACTCGCCAACCCACGCCTTCGAGACACACCGCCCAACTTCCAACACCTGAAAATTCTGTGTCTTAAGCTGTACCCTACTACTAACATTTTTTTCAACGAGATTCTTTTAAATACTGTCTATAGTTTACGCGAGTAGTACACATTTAAATAAAACACTAACGCTTTAAAACGCGATATATTAGTTAAACTTATTTGAAAGTCATTATAACTACGGCCCGTCGTTTCTAATGATTTGCAGCAGCCGTGGTCACGGGTAGACTAAAGATGGAGGGTGTCTGTAATGTCAAAGGAAACACTGCTACGCCAGCGCCATCTGTTCCATCGTAGATGGTATTTAGAATTGCAAAATTGACTAACGGTGTCTTCGCGTTTGCCGGTATGCAGCATATAAGTTTTTTTTGAATGTGTACTATTCGCGTAGGCCACAGACTGTATTCAATTAAGATGATGAAATCCCCTCTTGTTCGTACTTTGCGTGTTATCAACAAGCTGCAGGAGGGATCGATATTTTTACGTGCATTTTGGGTGAATTGACAAAAACATCACTCCATGAAATATGTACTTAATAATTCTATCGCAACGGATATTGTTCTGTAATGTTAGAATATGTTTATAATGAAAATAAATAAAAAGAATCTAATAGAACAACAGTTAACTGTAAAGACATCTTTTAACAAAGTTTTTCTTTAAGTATTCAAATACAAAATTGAACATACCTATAATCCTGCTGGCACCACTGTCTGATGCAGCGACCCATACTTCATCGATGACAGTGTAACCTCCTAAGGAACTTTGGAAACTCATGAAAGCTCCGTTACCTTCTATCCCGGTTATTAACAGCTCTGTTCCTAAAGCGCTGCAATAGAAAGGCCATTTTCATTGAATCAAATTAATAATTAAAAAGATTTAAGAAGAGACCTAACCTAGAGTTTAATATTTCTGTTTACAACTTATACTTTCATTAAAGGATAATAAAAAGTGATAAAGTAGAACAAAGACAGACGATTATGAAAAACTGCATAAAAACAATAAGAATGAAAATCACCCGGAAGTGTTTAAAACCACAAGACCATATTTGTTTGGGATAGGTTATTTTTTTGATTAAATCCCCGTTCCCCGTTGTGACATGGGGTGAACACATTTTTGTGTCTGTTTCACTGATGTTCTTTAACCGGCAAGTACCGTGCCCGACCGGAACAATTTTTGTTTCCCTGGAATTCGAACCCAGGATCCCTCGCGTTTAACGCAATGCAATGCAATACGTTTAACCATTTGGCTACAGAGGCGGTCGAGGTAGTTTATATTTTTATTAAGTTTTACATAATCACTTCAACGTTTTACTTTATCAAACAGCAGCGTTTTTTACTTTCACATTAGCGACACCCTTCATCTTTAATATTCCTGTGCTGCTACAAAGCATTCGAAGTTTAACTAATATATTTCGCGATTTAAACCGTTAAACAATTATAATAGAATATGTAACGCTTAAACTTTATAAAACAATTTTTATTGCTGCGTTAAAACTTATTTATAACGAAACTATAAATACCTTGTAGACCGTCTGACGTAAGCATTGTGCGGCGGTATAATACTCGTGTTGGCTTGTGGGGCGAGCAGTTCTCGACCTATATTGTTACGCAATACAACGTGGACGCCGGAATCGTCTTCACCAGAGGGCTCTGCTGTGCAGTAGTGCGGCACAGATACTTCTACATGTACAATCTAAAATAAGGAAACTTCTTGAATGGAGAAAATATCAAACCGTCGATGGCTAACAATAGTAATTTAGTGACAAAAGTTGGTAAATAGCATGATGGGTCTAATATCTTAAGCCCTCTTTCCCATGTGAACACGTGTCCAACATTGGGACATTGATAGGTTAAGACGGTTATTTTGTGTGAACATTTTAAAAGGCAATAACTTATACATTTATAAGTATGGGTAAACAACTTACACTTTCCCTATAAATACTGTTTCGTTCATCATTATGCCTCGCTACAGCCACGCCGTGGCCAGATTTTAACGCTATCAATTCACCGTTTGGTCTCAAGTCGAACGCTCCATCTTCATACGCCACCCAGTTGGTTCTCGGAGACGAGTTCAACTTCACGGTGGCTCCGACGGCTAAGGATAATCTGTCTCCGGTCACCATTTCTCGAGATAGACCCTCCACTGACATTTTTATATCTGTTATTCCGAGGATTTCGATTGTACTGTCCCAAGAACGTGTGTCTGATATCTGTAAAGTGAAGAGAAGTGTAAAAAATCTGTGTCGCCACGGGCTTGACACACAAAACGTAAATATTCATATTTCCGTGCTATATATACACATAGTATAATTATTATTAAATTTTTTATTCAAAGCTATATTAAAAAGTATAAAAAGCAATACAAGAAAATAGTAATTTAAAAATCGATTATATTTTTTTTAATTTACGATTTTTAAATCCAGAATCGATTTTGAATTTATATAGTGTTGCCACATGTGAAAAATATTAAAGTTTTCAAGAAAGTAATAACTTCTGAATTTCACTTATAAAAATACTATTTATTCTTACCTGCCCCATGTTACGAACTCTAACATCGATAGTGATGACTCCAGTCTTCAGAGGCACCACCCGAATTGATAAACCTTCTGCCGACGATCTTTCTAGCATATCTGGAAGCATTACATGAGGGATGATACAACTTGTGTGTTTTATAGTTTCAAGATTAACATCTTTTTTTTATATGTTTTATAGTAATTAAAATTGTATGTACAGTTGGATTTTCAATGAATAAAAATAATTTATTAAGAAAGTTTTGAAATAATGCAACTTCGAAGAAGTGCTAACATTTAAGTAACTCGAAAGGATAATAACAATTCCATAATTATGACCCGGTTTGTACTTATTGCTTTTAGACGAAAATATATATGCTAAGTAAAAACCTTCATTGACCTTTTCTTATCCCCTCAAAAAGCAACAAAAAAGGTAATAAATAACTATTATGTGAGTGACCAAAGTTAGGAGCCAAACATTTACCTATTGTATGAGTAGTGTACAATGTCGCAGATTTTGGATCACGGACAGTCCAGACAGCCTTCGGGGGAGGTCCTAACGCCCACAACGCCGCAGTTCCTAAGCCTGCAGCTTCTATCCATACACGGCCCGGTTTACCGACTAGAAGCGTTTGTGTTGAAGCACGCACTCGAAGATTTGTTATGGGAATAACCTAAAAATAGCAAACGCAATATTGGGAAAGCATTTTTAATATAAAATATATTTCCAAAGTAAATCTAAATTTCCGTTGTGAATCTAAGGACTGTGGGCGTGAAACTCTCCCACCTCTTAAGCATTTGTATGATTCTGAAAAATACTATTTACCCATTTATACATTGCACAAGATTTAGTGTTACATACTGACTATATCAGAAATTATGAAAAAAAAAACAGATTTTAAAGTAAAACTGTAAAGAATCGGTAAGAAAGGTCGACAATCAAGTACTAATCCTATATATAATATGTAGTTATATTTCTACCTCAACTTCTGCTTCGGCGCTGGCCAGTTCAACATTCGTAATATCTGAAGCTATCAGCATAATTTTGGCAGAGCCCAAAGCAACACCGTGGACGGCGCCTGATTGCGATACCTGAAATTATCATTATTATTGAGTCTTTTAAAACTTAAAATTTTCAGGCGGTAAGAAGGGTTTCAATAATTGTTACAATAATACATGTATTGCCTACTCCTCCTTTTACAGAAAGAAAAACGACTATAAGCTTTATTATGAGGAATGCTTGTGTGTGCTTTAATGCAACATGGGACATGCGACTTGTCAAACATTAGACTGCTAGAAATTAGCAAAAAAATATATATGTTGCAAAGTATTCAAATAGGCATCACCAAATATTTCGTATATTTTTATTACACAATATCATATTAAGTAGAAATAAAATAATTTCATCTTAACAAATATTTTAAAGGAAGGTTTGTAGAATAAAGCTCCTAATGTCAGGAACTACTGCTTCGAACTGAAAAATTACACAGGGCACAAATAGTAATTATTCCCCCTTCGCATTAATATATAACTTATAACGTTACTATTTTTTTCTTTTACCTCTACAAAAGAATCTCCTTGGAGTAATTTGTATGTCAAAGTAGCCAAATGACTTGGAGGACCTCCCGTATGCCTCAACTGTAGTCTAGCTCCGGGAGGCAATCTTGATCGTTCTGGCACTATGCGTAAACTGGGAAATACAGTCACCTGAAAATTTACAAAAAAATACTGAGTAAATTTATAAATAAATACTAGTTCATAACTTGTTTATTGTATGCCTATTTACCCCTATTTACATAAACATAATATTATGGTAACACTTTATTTAACACTGTATAGTGAACTGAGCTATATGACTTTTTTCGAAGCGTATGTATAATATGTAATTGACGGGCTCGTTAGTATAATGGTGGCAATACCCAACGGGTCGTCGGTTCGTTCCCCACCGGGTCGAACGTGTTTCTCAATTAAACAGGTGTTAGAAATATAGGAATATCGAAATTCTTGTGAAATTGAAGGTTGTGGCTATCAGGATATCCGTAAACAAAATAGGTCGACAGCGACAGTCTTGTTTATATGTTCCATCAAGTGTACAAGATTCTTGTTTGTATAATTAAAAAAATGTCCTAACATTTCTATTAGATTTTATGACGTTTGTTTGTTAAGACGAAGTGTATGAGGGTCACTTGATAGTAGGTAAATGCCTGAGCTATATAAACTTTAGTAAAGACATCAAACAATTCCATAAGACTTACGTCAATATAAGTCTTAAAATCTCATCTCATACTTAACTACTAACGTCGGCGTTATCTCGAGCAGTTTTGAGAATTGCCCCCCTGATGATTATCGTTCTCAATATCACATACAAAAAGAATGTCTCACCTCAAGCTCCGGACTCCAAACCCCGGCCAACATAGCCCTAACTTTGCCAGACCCTTCCTTAACACCGCAGAGGTTGCCATCCTTCAGAACAATGTTTCCACTCGTCCTCCACTCAGGTTCCTTGCTGGTCGACAGATATCTGTGCGAGACCCCTCTGACCAGTGCGGTTATGGGCACACATGCGCCCACGCACATCGCTCTAGCCGTTGACACTTCCACGCTCAACACTTCCTCAATGTTCACCTAATTCAAATCGAAATAGTGATATTGTAGTAGTTGTCGAGATTTTCAATATATTTTATCTCTACGTTAGGTAATCAAAAAAAAAGTATCGTATACAATACTGTATGTAGTTTAAGGGATTAATGACGTATTTAAATAAAATACTTTAACGGTTTAAAACGCGAAATATATTAGTAAAACTTTTAACTACGGCCCGACGTTTCTGATGCTTTGCAGCGGGCCGTAGTTAAAATAACTTTAAGTAAAATATTTCAAGTTTTTAACGTTTAAAGTATTTCATTTAAATACGTCATTATTCCTTTATAAACGTTGCTTTTTAATATGACTTTATTAAAAAATATATTTTTAAATACCTCAATAGTTTGCCTCTCCCCTCGTACACATTGATCTACAACGGTTAAGTCGTAGGAACCCGGAGCGGGCAGGACTGCATTGAGGATCCCGCTGTCTATGGAAGCAGACACGCCCTTTGATGCCTCCACTGCGTATCGTCCGCTCCCGCCGCTGATAGTCGCTATATTCGGCACAGTTTCGCTCTCCCATGCAATATTTATCTGAAGACATTTCAGTAATTTGTTTCTTTATTTTATTAATGATAGAAGAAGTATGAGGTTCACATTAGATATATAGATTTAGAATGAAAACATTAAACAATAAAAACAAAAACAAAATGAATATATGAAGAACGGCAACTATACGAAAATGAAAATAAGCATAAACATTATAAAAAAAATAGTAATTGTCTAAAGAGAAAATGATAAGAGACCGCTTCCGTTGCGCAAATTGCTTTCATTATCTATTATTGAAATAAATTCAGGTCACCGGGTTCAAACCCCGAAGATAACCACATAGAAGAATTGTGTTCACCACATCCCCCCACAAGGAAAATGGAATTTCCGTACCTTAGTAGGTTCACATTTTAATGGCGCCACAACTTTCGCCTGAATAGTGGCAGTCGCGTCAGGTATGCTCGCCTTCAAGACACCCGACCATCCAATGGCGTTTTCCTCCGCTTTCACCAGCTAAAATAATATTTATTATTGATATAATACAAAAAAGAAATAAGAATGAATGTAATATGCATATGGAAACAAAACTTGTCTGGTCTTGTTAAGAGTAAATCAACATATTGATAAATTAGTTTTAAAAAAGTATATATACAAATTTAATGAAAACGGAGACTCATGTCAAGTATTATCTATAACTAGCTGTGCCCGCGACTTCGTCCGTGTGGAATAGCTTGGGGTAGAAGTTTTCTTTATTTAGGCTGTTTATTAATTTATGTAAGGGCGCATTTAAGGCAATCTATGTTGTAAGTGCTACTTTGCCGTAACACTCTGACTCTCACTTCACATCACTCCTACTCTAACTGCCACTCTCATTCCTACACTCACTCTCACTCCCACTCCTAGTTCAAAATTACCCAGAGAAGAAAGTTTCGGAGTTAAAGCCGGACAGACAGACAGACAGACAGAGTTACTTTCGCATTTATAATATTAGTATAGATATCGGGTAGGGCGAAGAAGGGTGATCAACTTCTTGTTTGTAATAGAACCGAACAATGCAACGAACACAGAAATGTATTCGCTCCGTACACCACAGTGGGAGAAGGGATTAAAGCATTGCAATGAAGTAAGTAACGATGATACAAAAAAATACGGAGCTCCTTCAATTCGTGCTCACCTGATAGAACTTCACAGGTACTTGCACAGGTTCATACTCTGGATCCGTTTCCACAAACAGCCTATCAGCAGCTTCATACTCTATTCCAATGTGATTGGGTTGAGTTTCCCACGACACCCTGGGTCCATTCTCATCTAGCAGTTCTCTGCCTATCGCGTCCAATAATGTCACTTTAACGGACACTTCTTGACCTGGACGCAACCATACTCTGTGAAGAAAGTATTAATTCTCTTAAATATGTTCAATATAAAGATGAGAAGAGAAGGGCTGACAATCACGAGGTTAACTTGAAGGAAAGTTCGACAGGATATTATTTATAACTAACACAGTGTGTTCTGGGTCATTCAATAAGTTGCCAATCAATTTATAATTTTCCTAAAACATTTTGGACTTCTGGAGAATATGCGTTAAACATCGTAATTCCGTTTCCATCAATTTCAGCCAGTCAAAGTCAAAGTAAATATTTGGACTGCAAAAGCCTTGTTCTTCGGCTACAATAAACATCGATAAATTCGTATCTGGGGGATGGTATAACTTAGAGCGTGGTTAGGTACCACCTGTCAAAGCAAAGCCGTCAATTAAACTATTGACAATATCCGGACCATCGCCTAACACCAAACCACTTCCAGTAGACCTTTGGATCAAGACAGTGGCTGCGATTACCAACATTCCCTACATACTTATTTTTAATATTGGGCTACCTACATAACTGCCGAACCACATAAACATTACCTGGTAGTTGAGGAACAATTTCCAGGTGTTTCTTCGGGCTCGAGCCGTATTTTAGTGACATGCGAAGCGCACCAAACCGATAGATCGCTCACTTCTTTTTCTCCTTCCACTTCTGAACTCACTTCAAGGCGCGTTTCTCCTTTCTTTTAAATGCAAAAAGTATATTGTACGTGCATGGGGTACTGGGGATCTGTGGCACAGTTAGTAAGTTGTATTCAAGGTGTGTTTAAAATTTTTAATTTTTTTGGTTTACCAAACGCTATTTTTAATTAATTATAACTAAGACCCGATATTATGCGCAATGCCTCCCGTAAAAATGTTATTCTAATAGTGTTATTTTAACATTATTAATTCTCGGACTGAATATAATATATTTTTATTGTACTACTCACCCGGTGACATTTCATAGTAAATAACTGGACATCGGGGTGTTTATGTGGTGATGCACCGCTACGTGGCTCTATCGACGCAATTCTTGAGTCCAAAGACCCAGGCGATAAAGCCTCGCCCTCAGCTAGAACCTGAAATGAAAATGGCATACTGCATACCTGTCAGAGGTAAAAAATTAAGTTTAAACGCGCTTATCTGAGGAACTGATATTTTAGCTAACTATTCTTGTGTTAAAATGTTTGTGAAGACCATTTATCGAGGAAAACTTTATAACGTCATGTTGCAACCAATAGAAGGGAAGAAACAGTAGAGAATGTGGAAAAAATTGGAAATGAGGGCTTCGTTTAAAAAAACAAAAATGTTTGGAAGAGAGATTCCTCTTAAATAAAAAAATATCTGAAAGTTACTGTATATATCTTTTTTTCAAGTTGGATGTAATTAATGCTAATCTTGAGATATATATCAACATAATCATAATTTCGACAACAAACGTATTTTCTTAGATAATTATATTTTGTTACTCAATGATATGCCACTTACAGGAAGAGTAGCAGAAATTAGGGCTGCAGCGCGAGGTGGCCACACCAGATTGGGCGCAGCCCTAACTGCTATACGAGCTGTATCCCCTGCTCGTCCACGTGAAACGCGCACGCTTGACACACCGCGAGACTTCCACCAGCACTCTATCACGCAGCAAGCGCCCTCTATAACGGACCATCGCAATTATCATAACATACGTTATTGACTAACGAATAATATCTAGTTTTGTCGGCAACATCTTCTTTCAGCTTTCGTGACCTAACATCGTGTTTAGTACGAGAACACCAGAGATTGAACCCCGGGAGTAATAAAAAAAACGCTACGGTCGGACTAGTAATAACACTGATAATTAAAGAGACTCATGTCTATGATAGCAAATATGTATAGACATTTAAATAAAACACTTTAACGGTTTAAAACGCGATATGTTAGGTAAACTTTTTAAGCACGGTTTGTCGTTGAGAGTCAAATTCGTAATAGAATTTATAAAAGTAAGGGGCACGAAAGATGCTTTTACTATATCTTACCCACTGGCTGCATCCACGGCACTGCTGTAACATTGAATGGTTCCGGTCCTTCGAGTAAAGATACCGCAAAAGTACTGCAATCACATCTGGAATAAAATAAAACACCAATTTTTACCGAACACCACCAAAGGATTTTTTAACGTAAATAAAAGCTTTTTACAAATACTATTTAATTAAGTAGTAGTTATGTGTTACTGCTGTTTGCGTTTTAAACCGTTTTAAAGTGTTACGTTTAATGTTTACTGACTGATGTATATGTACCACTATCTGTAGTACAATTGTAGTAATCATATATTTGACGAAACGCTGTCGGATGGTATTTTTGGACAAGACTGATTAAATAGTGCAAAACGAATTAACACAAATAATTAATTTGAACAATTAAAACGCAGTAAGTTCGATATAGTGGTACAAAAAAGAAAAAAGTCTCGGTCGTTGTATCCCACTACCACGAAACTCCAATTCGACGTTATTTCAAAATAAAAAAATCTCTCAATGACAGTTTGCCAAACGTCAATGTCACTATATCGACCATCCTCAAGACACAACTATTACTTGACTGCTTATCCCTAATTAACTTAAACTTAAAATAAAATAAAGGTGTTAAAGAAACTAACTTGGTAAATGTAATAGGTGGCAGCACTAAGACATTGCGATCAGGACTTCTGACATGTCCTCGTATGGAGCAGTTCGTCAACCAGGTTTATATGTTTCTTTGATAGGTTTAGTGTCCGTGTGTAACCAAAGTTATATATATGATGTCTCCGAAATATTCAGTAGTACTTACCTGTTGAAATTATACAGTTCCCCAGTTGAGGGGTGAGTAGCTGTAAGGGCGACATGGAGATAGTGTGGTTTTCCAACTCGAGCATGACCTGAACTCGACACTTGGACTAATTCTGGTACCGCCGACCATACTCTGAAAGCATTGACAATATATTAAAAGGTATTCTTAATTGAAAAATAATATATTTCGTCTCAAGTAAAGGCTCCACATAAATGCTCTACTTAAAAATATACAAAGAGGTACATAAATACTTTTTTAAAATTGGTTAAAAAGAAAACTTTGATTAATAATATGGAACATGATTTTTTTTGTTTAATAATTAATAATAAGATTGTATGGATTTATGGTCTGACTACTGTTAAATTTATTTATTTGTTTATTACACAACAGTCACAATTACAAAATAAACCAATTTGGAGTGTAGGGGGCGCCCTTTTGGCTTTTTTTTGTTCCCCCCTTTTTTCCCCCCCCCCCCCCCCCCTTTTTTTTTGGGGGGGGGAAAACTTAAATCTATTAAATATTAAGTGCTTATTTATGACCATTTGAAGTTAGAATATGTTGTCGATAGATGTTTATTTATATGGTAATTATAGTATATAAATAATACAATATTACAAACCTGCCAATAGCGCGTATGTACGGGTATTGGGTCAAATGAACGCTAACATCAAGCTGTCCTACTCCATGCACTGTCAATACTCCGTTGTTAGACAAGGACAAAGCACTGTGGACGTTCTCCCCCTCTGACCAAGTAACAGCCTCGTCGCCACCACCCAGATGTCTAAGTTGTATATCTCTGTAAACATGTTTTCATAATACCTTAGACAAAAAATATTTGTATGACGGTAGTTCAAAAATTCTAATAATATTTTAATTATAATTAGTAGAATTCTGTAATGGATAGAAAACTTACTGTATGGAGTCAGTCCATGCAACAAATAATTCCGGAGGTAGAATTTCAAGAGGAGTTACTGCTATTGCTGATGCTTCCCCTTTGACCTACAAGAAATAAACATTACAGCCAACAACATTACAATTAAAAATTGATATAATGTCTTTTTATCATTGTCTTTCGGGCTGTTCGGCCGATGTGAGCGAGAAGAGGTTCTCGACGTTTCGCCATCACGTGTGGACGCCATTATCAGGAGATGTTAACTGCTTGATTGCTCGATGAATTAATTAATTCTTCAAACAATCACCAAAACCCCAAAAACAATGATATGTGAAGATCCGTGAAAGCCTTACACTATTTATAATGTCTTCTTCCATGGACACTAACAGGTGTACATATACATGTTAAAGTTACATAGTGCTTGAATCTGTTTGATATTAGATAAAAATGTAAAAAAGTGACTTATTTTGAATGAAAAGATGTTGTTGGCTTGTTAAATGGTTTTACATAAAGATTTGCAGTTTCCATTACAGTATTATTGACTGATCACCTGATGCCTAATCAATGTCTCCAAAAAAAAAAAAGGCATAATTTGTAGTATATTTACCTCCTGATTCAGTCCTCTGCCAGCAATGGAATACAACTTAGCAGTTACAGTAAATTTGCCAGAATTGTGTGTAATTGCATCAGTAATAGTACCATTTTCTGTAGATCTGAGCAGATCAACATTTGCTTCTCCTTCAACTGATAATCTGATCAAAATATCCTGACCAGCTATCAAAGCATGGCCATCAGCATCATAAACTATGCAGTGTATAGTAAATTCCTCTCCTTGAATAATTAAATTGGCCGGTCTAATACTGACTCTTATTGAATGAGGTTCGACAACAGTTAAAAGGGCTGTTGTGACTTCAGTTGAGCCAGACATTAGGAATATTGGTGTTGTACCCAGTTGTGTAGCTCTGACAAGGCTAATTGCGTCTTCTATGTTAGCAACTGAACTATCAGGTATTGACATTGTGTATAAAGTATCTTCCACATTTTGAATTGTTAAGCGGCCAGCTCTGGCTCGGACAACCCTAAAACACATTGATAGTGAATTTTCTATATGAACCAGGACAAAGTTTCTATAAGATTTTCTTATTGTTAAGAATCAGTACCTGTACTTAAGGGCATCGCCAGGCACAACAAATGCTGTTGCTGGAGTAAGTACAACACTGGCTACGACTTGCAAATTGAAGTCTGTACAAATTTTACCAAGACAGACTGTAACACGAGCTTCACCCATGGCCTGTCCATAGAGTAAAACTGAATGGCCTCTGAAACTTTTTGCTTCAAGTTCTGCTATACCCCTTGGTGCTTCATAGTCTGTGTCTTTCCAACGAACAAGCCTGCAAATAAGGAGAAATAAAACTGTTAACAAAGTCATAGAAAATTGCATTATGCTATTTTTAGGATTTGAGTATTTAGAAGGCCATAGTAAACGGAATAAATAAAATTTTAATTAATACTAAATATGGACATTAGTAATTTGAAATAACAGTGAAGATTGAACATCAAATGTAAAAAATAAAATTGTAATATTTTTATATTCCACATAATTTTTGGGTTTTGTCTCTCAATTAAGCATAAGCATTGTGTTAAACCCAAGAGGTTCTTATCCCAGAAACACAAAAAAATTGTATTACTGAAAATCAGAAGTCTGATCTACTACTTGGCTGTATATAAACAGGATAAATGCAACAGGGTAGTAATAGCACCATTGCTTTAAGATACATAATGTAAATGAATAAAATATATGAACGATTCACTTACATTACTAAAGGCTCATCTCCATAGGTACTTCCAACATTTTGTACAGTCCATGTAAAGCTGATTCCTTCCAGAGTTGAAAATTTGTTACCTGTGAATATAAAATGTATGAATTATAAGTATTTTTTGATGGTCAAAGCTTGTTTTATAGAATATTTTGTTTATTGTGGTTGAAGATTGTGTAACAGTTAACAATAAAAGGTATATTCCTCTAAACCTCAGGGCTAATACTACACAATCAATGGCTAATGCTAGTTTTATAGTAAGACTAGGTTTTTTGAGGTAGAGATAGAGAGGGGCAAATGCCTCGACTAAAGGACATCCAGGAGCGCTCCACAAATCCTGGGTTCATTTACTTGTAATTGTAAATTGTCAAAAAAGTTTTATAGATTATTATGGGCAAACAGCTTGTATAAACAAACAGCTTTGCAAAAATTTTCCAGAAGCCTTATACAACTTAGTTTGAGATATGTTAAATATTAAATTGTACCCATTTTGTGTTTGAAGTTAAACAATTAGGCAATGTAATGTTTTTATAAACTTAAAACTAATTGAAATGTTTATTGTGGAAAGTAGGAACAAATTTACCTGAGTCATCATATGCAACAACTTCAAAAGCTTCAGGAGCTTCCTCTAAATAAAGTTTCCAAGTGGTACTCATAACTTTTAAGGAAGTAATTTTGTCAATATCGACATCCCCTCGAAGTATCTAAAAAAAGCAAAGAAACCGTCACTGGCGTTAAAATATGTTGAAGGTTTTGAATTCCCGCCATAATTATACAAGTGTATTTACTTCGCCGGTGTTAACTTCTTCTGCTAGTATAATCACTGAACCTGGAGGCACACATGTTCTAGATACGGATACACGAGCGCTACGAGAACAGTGACCCCAAGCATCATCATACAAGGGCTCCAAGTCGATGATATCATCGCGCGATAAACTCCTGAAAATACACGTTTTTATATGAATATCTAATCGTTAAACAACCGATAAAACGTAGGTCTGTATCTAGTTTATAGACAGATATTTAACTCACCAAGAATAACAACCGCCTTCGATTATTTCGAAGGTGAAATTAACAAAATGATTTTCAAACCATGGCAGCAAGACTCGTGGAGTGTTTATTTTAGCAGTCTCACTGATAGGCACACATAGAATAATAAGGAAAAGAGGCAGTATTTTCAAAGGCATTTCAAAGTTTTATAACAACATCTAAGATGTAGAAATAAAAATTATATTCCAATAACAATAATAACCTCAATACTGAAATTCAAATATCGTTACCACAATATTGTATGAACTATGAAGTATTCTAGTAATGACAGTTTACATTGTATATAAACATTTTTAGTCTTTGAAACAAAGGTTACTACAGAGTAACTAAGTCGTCCTTGAGCTCAGCTGTCACTACTTCATCTGTCATCGTTTACAAAATACAAATGGCTGAACTGTGTTGTTTCGTTTACTATGAGCAGCTATTTACGCAAAGTTTATGTTAATTTAAACAAAATGTGCGCAATAAATGAGATACCGATAACGTAACTCATAAAGGACTAACCAGTACTAACAGTATAATTTTCTAGCTAATATGTCGGCCGAAAAGAGTAACGATAGTAAAGGCAAAGAGATCGATAAAATCAAACGTCGTCATAAAACTGACGACACTATTGCAACAGGGTTATTAAATGGTAGTGAAGATATAGTGCGTTTTACTAAAATGGAAGTTCTCAATGATCGGACGGGAAAGCCAACAGAACTGCAGCTTCAAGGCAATTCTCATTTGATGTCTAGTACCACTAGTAGTTTGGCGGATACACCTGGCGATTCTGGCGTACAGTGTTTAGATAGTGATGCCTCTGAAGCGACAAGTCAGGCTCTTATGTCTCATAGCTTAATTGGAACAGAGGAATTAGCCTGTGACAGTATTTATGATGCAGCACCGTCTGGTTCCCAAGATATGATCAAGAGTACGAGTAGTAGTATAATGACGCGAAGTGATATCGACAATCAAAATACTGGCGCACCTGATGACATTGTTCCTGAACTTCTAATTGAAACGAATAAGAAGCCCTGCTATGAAAATTTACCTGATGTAGTATTGAAAGCTTTAGAGTGTGAGAAAGTATCAACAGAAGAAGTGAAAAAATCTGCTCTAAGATCCAGTGAACCCAAAAAATCACACTCTGAAGATATTGTATATAGGCGGAGGTGTAGGAAAAAGTCACAAAGTGGACCCAGTTCACAAAAGAAGCGTGTATCATTTCATGAAGATATTCTTAATAATACCAAAACTGATAATATTCATATTGAAAGAGGCTTTATTTCTTATGGACCAGACAGTGCATATTGTGATAGATTCAGACAAAGAAATAATGTGAGTGATAGGTTCTCATGGTGTGCCTCAGGTGACAGATCACCAAAATATGCTGCAGATGTTGCACAACAGACAATGTCAGATATTCTTACATATGGCGACAGTAAACAGGATAGAAGTGGAATATTTGAATACTGTCAGGACTTTGGACAAGGCAATGATAATAATGAAGATAATAACAATAAGGACAAGGATAATAATAATGAAACTAGACCAAACGGAAAGTTATATGGCTGTGATTCAAATAGTTCTGATTCTAATTTTAGCTGTGACTCGGAGTCGTCAAGCAGTGAATCTTCATCTTCAAACTCCCATAAGACAGAAACTCCAGTTGGGAATAGAAAATGTGATAAAACCCAAAAGTCCTACTCGTGTGATGAGTTTGAAAATAATGCTCATGTGGCTTTTATGAGAAAAACCTATTTTTCTGAGGCTGACATAGATCAAACTCATAATAGGAGGAAAAAGCCCCTAGAGGTTTCCCAGAGCCCTACTACTGTAAAATCAGTGTTAAAAAAGAAAAGATACATAACAACAAATGTTGTTGAAGAAAGAAAACAAAACAGTAAAGTGTTGAATCTATTAGACGCCAACAACATTATTGATTCATTGAAAAACTTCTATAAAAACTTCAATTTTAATTTTACACCTGAAAAAGGATTATCAGAAACTAGCTTCGAGTTAAATAGTGTTATTGAAGCATTACCTTGTGATGTCAATCAAAATAAGAAACTTTCTAAAAGCTTAGATTCTGGCTTTCAAATCGATGATGAAGATGACTTTGTGGAAATTAATTTGAACTCACAGTCTTCCGATTTCGAAAAACCTAAAGACATACTTACACCTTCCAAAAACCCTGTGAAAAATGAAAGAACACCAGAGGGTTCTCCCAGGCACAAACTTACCCTAAACATGCAGGCACAGAGTGACAAAAAATCTTCTAATAAGCCCGAATCTTTACCACCCTTGAGCAAATATGTTGTGAACTGTGAAAGTACCGTTTATGAACACAAGGGAGTGTCCTACAGTTACGTTCATGACACATTCCAGACTGCGTTTGAAGCTCCAAAAGAGTCTTTCGTTCCTATACCAGAATTTACTCCGGTGAAAGAACTCGTCACGAGCTCTAGTAAATCTGAATTATCTCCAAAACCAGACGGCGACAGCTCTAGCCGAACATCGACGCCCAAACGGCAATACAACAAAAACGTACAAGACGAGACGGAACAAAAGAACGGCATTTCCAAACATTTGTCGTCGCCGAAGAAGCAGAACGTCAATAGGTACTACAGCCGCAAATCGGCATCGACCGTGCAGAAGAGTGACGAAAACCAGCAGGCGATTAGCGATAATTGCTCTAACACGGATAACTCGACCTTGAAGGGCGCGGACGATCTCAATGATGAATTTTTCGACAGTCCGTCAAATCAGAAGTTGCAATCTAATAAATCCGCTCTGCTGAACAGGTACTTGAAGAACGTCTGCCAAAGGAAGGACCTCGAATTGAAGATACGCAATAACAAGTTCTACCAGACGAAGCTGAGGCTGGAGAAGCATTTCCCGTGCATCGTGTACCCTTTCAAGCACGTGTCGGAAACGTTCCGCGCGTCCGCCGAGCGGATGTCACGCCTCATCGACAAGGAGGTGATAGAGAACAAAAGGCTCTCGGTGCGTCTCCTCACGGCCGACGAGCCCTCGTACTTCGACAGCTTCGAAGATAACGTCGCGATTGAATGCAACGAGAAACTAAGATTGCAAATTTTCTCACACCCCAATGAAACTCTTAACAGGGTAAGAAGTAATAAAAGATTATTTTACGAATAAAGAAACTGATAATTGATGATATATTGAACTGTTTTTGTTGCTAAGTCACTATTGTCTAGATGTAGTCAAGTCATAAATGAGCATAGTGTATTGATACCTGGAATCACCCAGCACACTATGCAACCTGCTGTCTTCAGCCCTCTCAGTTTAATGTATGCTCTGTATTTTTACCTTTAGGACTTATTTTTAGTACCTTTGTAGTAATATTTTTTTCTACAATATAGTTTTCACTCTGTCTTTGTATAACTTTACGTGTTGTGTCCGTTTTACACAATTCCGTTTTCTTACAACAGTTCATTTATATCATGTAACTAATTATGACAAAACGTAGACAGTCCACAAATAAAATAAATATCGTCTATCGTATGTATTAGAATTCTTCGCTTGTATAGCTTCAGGTCGTCAAAGTGTGTCGCTATCTGACTGACGCGTGTCCTTGAAACAGAAGAACACACACACACAACTGATTTTAATAGCATTTGAGGTTTTTAATGCCATCGTAATTGTGTCACAATACTTTCAGATGATGAAAGTCCAATCACCATACAACATGGAAGATGGATCTTGGACGCCTCTTCTAGTGTTCATCACGGACTATGCGCTCTACGTAGCGAGCGTTAAGCCCGGCGGAACTGAGTATGATATGATATGCAGATTACCTCATAATGAGCTCGATGCGATAGCGGTAAGTTTCTAAGTTCAATAGATCATTCGTTTCGACCTATTTATCACTTCTGAGCATATATCTTACCTGCGAGAGAATTTAAATGCAAACAAAAATAGGTTGACAATTATATATTTGTTTTTACATATAACATGACTATATATAACGTATAGTTATGTTATCTATTTATAACCCTTTTTTTTATTCGAGTTTTACAGCTTAGAAACTTTATTACAATATGCAGATCTATAACAATAAACCACAGGTAATAGAGATAAAAAAGCCAAAAGAACAGACGTATGTGTTGTGTGTAGTATGTGTATGTTTGTGTAGATAAGGATGTGCTAAAAACAATGTTTTTCTGGCGGTTGTATATATTTGCCCATATGTCCTTGTACGCTATAGATTTTTCGAGTATTACTAGTTTCTTCCCTTCGTATATAAAATATATATTGAAAATTATTCCAAGAATTACTTTGAAAGACGACAATGCGCCGCGTTAAGCAATATGCATATTTTTCACGCAAAATACACCCTTATCATCTTAATTGCGAAATTGCGTTGTAATTTCCGACTAAAAGTAGAAAGTTAAGCGTCAGAGCGCTTCTGAGATTTCATTACGATTATGTATGGACGAAATTATCTTTGCCTTTCAACTTATTGTTTGTAATTCACTATAAACGAATAATTCTACTTAGCAAAGGTGAAACGTCTGTTGATGTAAACGGCCTCGTCAGCTCAATGGTAAATATATTTCACCGATAGGTCGTAGGTTCTATTCCTACCAGGTCCAGGTCCATAAAACATTTCTTTTTCTGAAACGTTAGACCAAATCCTGGACACCTGGGTATTAATTGCACGGTAAAAATATATTAACTCTGTCCGACTTACTAACCACGCAAAGCCGTCTAGTGTAAATTCGCACTTCGGTTTCAGTCTGTTGATTTCCGAATGTTTGAAGAAAAGAGGCCGACAGCGCATCTTAGTTAGATGTTATCGAGGTGGCGTATTTCACATTCCATCAAGTGAAGGCCATGTTTGTATGTAATTTACGCGAGTAATACACATTTAAATAAAACACTTTAACGGTTTAAAACGCGATATATTAGTTAAACTTATTTGAAAATGATTTTTAACTTCGGCCCGACGTTTCGGATGATTTGCAGCAGCCGTTAGTTTAAGTAAGTTTAACTAATATATCGCGTTTTTAAACCGTTAAAGTGTTTTATTTAAATGTTCTTTATTTTAGTGACTAGTCTAGACATTTGTCTACTTAATTTTAGTGACTAACACATTCTAATATACATTTTAAGTTAAAAATTGTTACTAACCCAACTAACGCACATTAGAATTAATTAATTATTTATTATTTTAAATTAATGTATGGATCTATGGTCTGATAAATAAATTATTATTATTATTATTCTCACATTTGTTATTAACTAGCTGTGCTAGCGACTTCGTCCGCGAGGAACAGTTATATTATATATGGACATCAAAATCTGTTATCAAGTATATCTGTTACCTACGATGTCAGTCGCGTCCCGTGGTTCTATTACATATTAAGATTTTCTATCGGGATCACCTATAGAAGGCCGGGTGATCAGTCCATACCTTCAGCTGACCATTTCCCCATGTCCTCCCTGCAGAGATCTTATAAGATATACATATTTTTTAATTTAAAGCAAAATAATTATTTCATACATATTGTTTAGCTATCTGGAACCGATCGAAGCGCACTCAAAATGATTATTTTACCGTTTTTTAACACAATTCTATTCCTTTGCTCTTATTGGTCGATGCCTGATAGTCACAGAAAAATATTTTTTTCAATTCGAACTAGTCTTTCCTTAGATTAGCGCGTTCAAACAGACAAACTTCAGCTACACAATATTAGTATGGTTTAAAAATTCCTCTGTTATCAAAGGTTAAGTGTCAAGTTTTATTAACAGTCAATGCACCGAATGGAAATATTTCACTCTTATGACAATAGAGGTCTTAATACTAGTTTGCAATATACTACTTTGTTACGTGATAGAAGACTTTATTATGTGATATAGTTATTGCTACACATAGTATTCTTTTTAGTACAATACAGAGCTTGGAAAAGTTATAAATTTGACGGACTTATTGATCTAACCGTAGCAATATATAGCTAATTTTTAACTTAAAAAAAACCTTTTGACGGTTTAAAACGCGATATATATTAGTTAAACTTATTTAAAATTTATTTTTAACTACAAGTTTCGGATGCTTTCCAGCAGCCATGGTCACGGGGAGACTAAAATAAAAATGCTTAACTAATATATTTCGCTTAAAAATGTTTTCAAATAAGACTTTGTTTCATTTAATTGTAATCTATACCATAACAGTAAGCGTTTGACTTACTTAGCTGGCTCAATTACCTACATTTCCACGGTTGAAATGATATTAAACGTGAATAACTTACATATTTCTTACCTCATTAAGCAATATGTAACATGATAGTGTAACGTAAATCCTAACTGACCAAGTAACCACAGGTTAACGGTTTAAAACGCGATATGTATTAGTTCAACTTATTTGAAAATTATTTTTGAACTTCGGCCCGACTTTAAAATCCCGAAATAACTTTAACTAATAAATAAACTACAGACAGTATTTAGTAAACGTAGACATTTAGTTTTGAAAGCCGCCCAAATAAATCAGTAGGATTTTGGACTACTGCCGAAGTCTTGCCAGTAAAAGGACTTTTACTTTAGAGACATTTGGACTAGTGCCATTATTGTTTTAAAAGTTGCCCCTGCTTTAACTTTATACAAAGTTAAAATGATTGGACCAAGGGACTTCTTTCACTTCCATACATTGTTTATTAATCCATGGTTTATAAAACACTGCCTCATATAGTACGTTTCTTTTTTTACACATTTTAGTTTTTTAAATAACAATATCTCTGCCCACGGTTACTGCATCCGTAGGTTAATATTATATATATAATTCGGAGTTTTAACGGTTTAAAACGCGGCCTTTTAAAGTATTTATTTATTCGCCTGCCGGCCCTTAATTATATTAAAATATTTGTAGTTTATATATTTATATACACATAACAAATGCATTTAACAATTAACATGTATTTGCCACATCATTTACCAAAAGAAACGGCAAAAAAATAATCTAAATATAACTAATCACCTATATACATGGCGTTGTAAACCGTTTAAATTTGTTTATTTAACTTTAAAAAGGATGTAAAGACTTTACAGACTTTAGTTACGTTACGTTACTGAACGTTACGTAAGTAAATATAGACAGATGGCCGCTTAAGGATTTGTGATTCTAAAGTTAAGATCTCAGCGCATTCACACATCGTTGACTCATCAATAATGCATCTTTGCGTTAGCGAACGTCAACTGCGTAAGCACGCGATGTTACGCTTACCATACATTCTGAATAACAAGTGCTGAGTCATAACAAGGGGTATATTTTTTCGTTCGTGTATGTTGAAAAATCGTTTGTAGACAACGAACATATGTATTTTAAGTAATCAGTTTTAAATCAATTGTAGATTTGAAAAATAAAATATATATGACACGAGTGGGACTAAAACATTTTTAAATAAAACACTAACGCGATATATATGTAGTAGTTAAACTTATTTTGTCTCCCCGTGACCACGGCTGCTGTAAAGCATCCGAAACGTCATGACAAAGTTAAAAATCATTTTCAAGTAAGTTTAACTAACATAATATATCGCGTTTTAAACCATTAAAGTGTTTTATTTTAATGTGTACCACTCGCGTAAACTACAGACAGTATTTAATTTTAATCTATACTCATTATTTTTAGAATTAAATCTATTATAAAAGTATTTTTTAAAGGGCAAACAATCTTTGCTCTTGACATTTTTAGGTCACGAACGGAGTGAATCAAATATCCTGATATCCTCTCTTAACCGGACGTTATCTTGTGTACAAAAGTAAAGTTTTCATTTCTTGGGAGTGCGCCAAGTCTAGAAAATTCTTACTAACTACTTTCGATTTATTTATGCTAATGAATGTAATTACATAGTTATTTTCTTTCTTACCTATATTTTAAAATCATTTACGTATTTTTATGTGATTGACGAACAGATCGACACTTCTTGTTCTTAATAACATCGATGGGATTTAAATCGAAGACCAATATCGCTTCCATCAATAAACTTTACAATACTAATAATAATAGTTTTAAAAACCTCATACGTACATATAAATCATATTTTGTAATATGTCATATATGTTTTTACCTTTCCATACGTAACTTTTTTTCATATCTATCTGTTAAAGCTTACAAATAACAATGGCGATAGTATAAAGTTAAAAGAGAAAATATTGTTAAGTTAATGGCGCCACTTTCAAGGTCTGTCTTGATAAATAAAAATAAAATTTGAGCTGTTACGTTACAATTATAGCAAGGCGAAACACGTTCGCCCATGACCGATGGAAGGTAACACAAACTTACGTTCTTTTTTGCGTACTTTTGTGTGCATCGTCCTATAAGTAAAATTCACCAGTCGTTCCCAAATAATATTTCGGATAAATTTAATTCGAAATAAAAAGTATCATATTATTTTTTTACTAAATTGAAAAGATTAGTAATTCAACGGGTCATAGATTCAATACCACCTGGTGTCGGGTCCAACATATTTCTAATCAATTTATATCCTTAAACATAAGAATTCCCAAAGCTAAATAAGTTCCCAATTATACACTATATTGGGGTATGTCACCTTCCATCTAAAGAAATCCGTGCTCGTCTGTTATAAAAAATATATGTTGTCTTTGCAGGTTGGTCCGGAGGCCCAGTACATCCAAGTGATAGATACAGCTGGCAATATCGCGTGCTCCGTTGTAACGGGAGAGGCATCTTTGGGTGCGAGACTGGCGTCTTCGCTGGAGTGGAGTGCGAGAAACTCTCCGCTGCGGATCTCGCGTCCTCCCGCTCTGCTGCCGCTTAACTGTCTCCAGCTTGCTTCCGCCGTCACGCGGCAAAGGCATGAGAAACGGGTAAATATTATCCACATAACACGATTATTTATTCGAAAAAGCCGTCAAGGTTACTCTGCTTCGGTGTCAGTCTATGAATTTCGGAAAACCCAAAGCCAAATATGTCCAAGAGGGTAAACGACAGGCAATACTTATAGCAGATTTATAAAAACAGTAAACTAATGTTCCATTGTACATGTCCCAGCAAAGACATCTTTAAAAATACACTAAAGCAAGTTTTACAAATCAAAGTCCATCGATGGTCTTACAATTTGCAAATCAATTTCCCACCATCTATTTATTTCCGCATGATCGCGTGTGGCCGTCGGCGCTGGCCAATAAGAAAAACTTAACTCAATTATCTCTTGCGTGCATATTAACAGCCTAATGATTCGTGTTAAAAAAATCGAATTACTGCAATCTTAACGTATCAATTTATGTTATAATTATAATAAAAAAAACGTAAAAAAAATAAGACACATGTTGACTACCCTTGGTGTAATGGAAGCAGTATTTGGCTAATAAACAACGGGTCGTCGATTCGTCCGCACCGAGTCCAACTTGTTTATTATCAATTCATCATTTTTCTGTTACGTGTTGGCCTTTTTTGGAATTCCGTATATCAAATGGGTGGTAAGAATGCCCACAGAAAGTCGTGAAGTTTAATCGCGTTTCGGTTTCTGTCTATGAATTTTCCAATATCTAGATCTACAATAGGTCGACAACACATTTCATGTGGCTGGGGTATTTCACCTTTCATCAAGTGAACCGCATTCTTGTCTATCAATATAATGCCCCTTTATGATAGACGATGGGGTCTATCATAAAATAGGCAATATTCACTTCTTTTTTGAACATATTAATGTCCCACTGTTAAAAACAAGTCTCCACTCAAGCATAGACCCACCACACTCTTAACTACTACCACAAAGCCGTAAAGTCTAGCCGGGACTGACGGGATAACGGTCTCCATAACAAGAGTCACTACAATATGATCTGAATATGTTAATAAACACAAAAAAAAATACGCACACATCCTAAAGATTTGATAATTATACATATGTAAAGACGAATATTTCCTACTTCCGTTATCCAACATACAGGTAAATTTACTCCTATTTGTTTCTTTTACATATTATATGTATGAATAACAATATTAATACCTCGTGAGTAGAGTTCATTGATATGGTATCTTATGTACTATTATCTAATAATTGCATAACGGTCTTAGTTATTCTATTTATAGACCAGTCGTTTGCATGTGATGGTAATATAATACAGAGTTGGCATCTTCTTTTTAAGGTTCCGCCTATCCTCTTCTACGGACGAGCATGTTCTGGTGACACTGAAGACAGACTAATGGAAGCTCCCGGGGCCTTCGCCCCGCCGCTCGAGGGCTACCTTATGTGCAGGACGGATAAGAGTAAACGATACGAACCTTGCTACTTCCTATTGCGGTTAGTTGCATTATTTAACTGTTTTGAAAGGAGCTAAAACACAATTTGTTGGTTTTTTGATGAATTAAATTGTTCTTTTTTTTATAAACAAGCGACTTGCCCCGCCTTCTCTCGGGTGCGATGCTGAGCTGAATACACTACTGAAAAACTGAACGTTGCTTATAAAAATCTTCCTCTTGAATCTCTCTATTAAAAAACCGCATCAAATCGTTTCGTAAGCGCCCATAGGGCAGAAAAAGCGACTTTGTTCGTAGTTTGAAAAACTTAACATCCTCCATATAGGTTTAATGGCTAATTTGTTGAAGTTGTTAGCAGTGTGTGTTGACTATATAATTATATAATCTGTATAAAAATAAATCGCAAAATCTTCGAACATCGACTACGCTGTTGTTTTATAATATTTTACAGTTTTGTAATTTATACGTATATATTATAATACAAGTATAAAAATAGAAAAATGCCTTTAAACACCACCTTACTCCATACAAGCAATTCATAACAACCCTTAAAAGCCAATTTGGCCACCATAATATATAGTTAAGTGTTGGATGTCAGCATTTGTCAAAAACCAAACTTAATTTAGAATACGTTACAAAAGAATTAGGTAGACAAGCGGACGGCCGAGCGCATCACTACAAATCGGCTAGTGTGTAAGAGCCCTATTCAAGAATGAATCGTATTTTTTCAGAGCTGGTGTCCTACAATGGGGTCCTCATTCGCCCGATGGATCTCCTTTGCCTAATAACATCGCCCTACGGTCTGTAGTCGGTGTGCGACGGCATATAGATTCCTCTAGAAGACCACATTGCTTTGAGATCGCACTGAGTGACTCAAGTAGACTATTGCTAGCAGCTCCAGATGACCCTACCGCATCATCTTGGCTTCAGTCTTTGCTTCTTCATGCCGCCCAGGTACGAAAAAGTACCGTTATCATCATTTAGTTGATTTTTTTTGGTCGTTCGAGCCGGATATGATTACAGCTTTCTATCTTTTAATATTTAAAGGGTTCAAAATTAACATATGACAAAGATATAGTTTGATTCTATGTACGACCATGCTGTATATATCAATTTTTATAATTTATATTTGAAACGATAAAACCAGTTTCAAACACGAAATATATTGATTGAGTTATCTTTAACTACTAACCAAATGAAGAGACCTGGTTACAGAGGAGAAATTAACTATTATATTTCATGTTTTACACCTTTTCTTAGTTGTTATTCGCGTTAACAACAGGCAATAAGAAGAGACGAACGATTAACTGTTTTAAAGTGTATATAGCTATTTGTAAAATTACTTGGGTTTTGGAGCCTTGATTAACTGTTTACAATTTTTTTATAAAACACATAATGTCATAAGCAATTTATTTCAGTCCCTGGAGGAAAAGGATGTTACGAAGAAAGGGGATTTACGCTCAGGCCCACCACCAGCGTGTACGGTACTGGTGACACCTTACGAGGTGATCAGTCTGCGAGATACACTGGATTTGGCTTTTGTCGCTGGCGCAGCGGCCTATTTGAAGGACAGGGGCTCGGAGGCGCTGCTTAAAGGTTCATAGATGCATTATTTTCTATCGATCTATATAATAAAATAAAGTAAATTTTAAAATACCTTGTAATTTATAATGTCTTTGAAGGCGAATATTAGTTTTTTTTTTAATCCTAGATCGTACCGCACTGTTTTTCAGTCTGATGTGACTATCCGTGGTTTCAAAAGATTTTGATAAAAAGCTTTACGTTAACTGTATCGTTAATAATTTTAGGTATAAACTTGATATGGATGTACAATATTTTATGGTTTTAACTCACTTCTTCTTACTTATGTTTTTATGTCCCTTCCAGAATACATAGAAGAGATGCACGCAGATATAGAGATATTGGCTTGCGGCTCAATCAAGAACTTGACTGCGTTTAAAATACCAGATACTGACGAGAATTGGTGTTGCCTGGTAGGTTTGGGTCTATACCCCATCAAGCGTCCAACCAATCCTCCAAAACATAATATCTGTCTTCGAGGGTCTTTCTTGTTTAAATGTTTTTTTTTTCAATCGGGCCTGACTGTCCTTGTATTTTGTATTATGTTTGATTTCCTTTCAGGAATGGAGTGTCTGCGAAGCCCGCGAGCGAGGTGCCGGTCTAGCACTAGTGTTGGCAAGCAGTAATGAACTAGAGAGGCTCATAGCAGCTGTCGAGAAGGCATATTGTGACCTAACGGTATACATTTGATTGTTTATTAAGGAAAGTAATTATGCAATTTTTCGAAACAAATACCTAGACCTAGATTCATGGATACTGTCAAATATTACAACGGAAAACAACAAATCGTTTCGATCGGACAGGGCACTGAATACGATCAACTACTTGCCTATGAATAAAATCGATTAGTGATTTTAAAAAATCTGCACGTCTCGATAATATATATTGTAGTAATTTAATACTAAGAAACAGTATAAGACAGTTTGTTCTAGTTTATGACAGTTCCCTTGTAACTCTTTCTCATTTTAGTTGTTTCTTTCTAATTTTATTAGTTTCTTGGAAGCAAGTTATACAATTTGTTGCATTGCAGTGCGAGCCATTCCCACTAAGCGTTGTGGAGGCTACAAAGTCTGCGTGCAGCACAGCACATGCCAAGTACGAGTCTGCATGGGTGCATATGCTGCCGTCGCATCAGTAATCAGTCTTGGCATGAAACATCATTCCTTTTCACTTATACTATATCTTATCCGTTGGATATATTGACATATGGATATTTAAGATACCGTATGAGAAAACCGTTTTAAATCTTGGCGGTTTATTCGTGATAGGGTCTATAGTTTTGTATAATGAGGTAATGTTTTCTTTCTTTGTTCCGTGATATGTAGTTGTTATATTAATATATCCACTATATTCTAAAAATTATCATAGATTCCAAAAATAACTATAAGAAAGTTGATAAAAAGTAATTAATCAGTTTACTCAAAATATATATTATCAACAAGTGCTTTATCGTTTGGAATAAATGCCGCATACTACCTAACTACAAATTATTGAAACGTAGTATTTGTTTGTTAAGAAGTGTATAGTAGACTAGACAAAATTGCATCAAAAATGAAATACTCGTTCGCTGACAAAACGGACATTTAAATGTATCTTTTGACATACGTGTAATCACAATAATGTGCAATATATGGAGTTATTCGTAACTGAAGTGAAAGCACAACTTAGAATTAATACGCTTTTGAGGTTTAGTGGAAATAAATTAGGTATAGAATAATGCCGTTATTTTAAACTCTTGACAACGTGACGTAAGTAACTAATTTTGACGTCCTAATCGAAGCAAATCCGTTCACAGATCGTCTCGATCATCAGTATTTTGGTGATGTAAAAAATAAACGGCATTACTATACCATATTTAGCGACGTACTTAATGTTGCTATTGTACAATAATATTCTCGTAGTAAATCGTGCTATCTCGCTCTAGTACTGTGTTAGAGCGAGACGACCTGGTTCTTTAGTTTCACTTTGATTACTCATCTAATTCTTACATCAATTTAAACTCGAAAGAGTGAACATTTATCGTATAGAATGCGGGTGCGATTCTGAATCAAGTGACATTTACGCTATTAAAGTCGCGAATTATATCAGACTTGCTTATAATTACCAACCAGTGATGAAAGTCACTTTTTTGAATATTTTCCCAACTTTCTGATCTTCAAAGTATTATAATGAAATGTTTAATATTAGTGTATTTTATCCCAAAGAAGAACTTGTGCTAAAATTATTTATTTTTATATTTTGTTCATAATGTTGGATCTCCATTCTTGTATTATAGTAATCGCTTGAGAAATAGATTAAATACCGTTTAGACTGTTTCGGTTCGTTTATGCTGTCACTGCCCCATTTGTATTTCAGAGGCTGTTTGTAAAATATTGAATGTGGCTACGTTTTGACCTAACTGGTAAAACTTCGAACGAAATCCGTATTTGAATATGTCAACTTTTTTAAGAGACGGTTCTACAGTTTAACACATTAACTGAACTTACATTTTCTTAATTTCAACTGTGACCCGACGTTTTTTGACATTAAAACTACAGAAAATTATTTATGTCAAATTGTATATAGTAGTGTTTTGTGTAGTGTACGCGTGTACACATTGTATGAAACGATTTTAACGGTTTCATCTTTAAATATATTGAGTTTTAAATACTCTATCCGAGATTGGCTGCTGCCAAACAAAACGTTGGCGTTCAAAATAAGTCCATTAACTAATTTCGCGTTTCAAACCGTTATGTAAGTTTTCTTAATCGTCATGTCCGAATGTTTACCAATTAGGACAAGTTAAAGGGTTATTCTGAAACTTGATTTATCACTTTACAACACCTAATTTACATTCACTGTTGAATATTTAGGGGTTAATTGATTTCAAGTTTTACAGAATAAGACTGCTTTGTGCCCGCGGCTTTGCTTAGTAGATTTTAAACGCGAATATTATTATAGAGCGAACCTTTCGTAGCTTTATGGTTTAAAGCTAATTTTAACGGTTTCGTTGTTTCGATTCAACTATTTGTTGTTAGTGTTGTGAGAAATACAAATGGGGTTGACTCGTCTCAAACGTTTTGTTTGTTTATAACTTATGAAATTGCATATATCAATATTGTATAACTTGTATGTGTTTTGGGCTACACGCCATGTGATATTAATCTTTGTATAGGTAGGCATTAGACAAAGTGCCTCGCGAGTTCGTTTTATAGAATAGGCCATGCGATCAAATACAGTGAAACCTCTTTGTAACGGAAAGAATTTAATATCATCTGTAGTTTACGCGACTAGTACTAATTTAAATTTAAAAAATGACGGTTTAAAACGCGAAATATATTATTTAATATATTTCGTAATTTAATCCGTTAAAAGTGTTTTATTTAAATGTCACATATGGTTGGTAAATGGTACTTACAAACTAAGTTTTGTTTGATACTGTCATTTAACGTTTTTTCTTAGACATACATTTTGTTGTATTTTTTATTTATTTAATTCAAATTTTTACAGTGTTAAAGCATTGTATTGATTGAAAAAAAGGGAGTTTCCAATAATTTTGACGCATTCAAAGCGCCATTGTATGAGAGGCAAGCTAAACAAAGTGATTCTGATATTTGGAGTTTTCCGTTATATCGAGTTTACACTGTATTATCCATATATTTTGTTATATTATGCTTTTTCGAAATCATATTTTCGTTAACTTGGGGGCACTTAATTTTTTTACGACACAACTATCTCAGTGAATTTATTCCAAATTATTTTATTTTATGTACAGCCAAGGTGCACATCGCTTTGTACTGCCTACGAAGTATAGTCAATAATTATAAGTTAAATGAATTTATTTGTGCGTCTGTGGGCTTAATGCGATGTTCGTTACGCGATTGTGTTTCGTGTTTACCATTAAGTTTTTTATTTCTAGCTTATTGTAGCTTAAATGTTATGTGTTCTTTTTGACATGTTAGAGAAGAATTGACAGATAGAATAGCTAGTGTTTCTGGTCACCAGAAAAACAAATTTTGTTAGATAGACTGTATACAATGATCTTTTAACCGACTTTAAAATGTACGTAAGTGTTGCCTTACTGCAATACCAATGCTCTATTTAACTGAATCAAACGTGTTACTTTGTGCAAATGATTACAAAATATTAATAAAAAAATAACTACTATTGTTGATCAGTAACACTAGTTACTAAATTGATTTTTTAGCACTGTACCTGTTTGCAAAGAAATTGTAATCGCGTTTCTTGCCTTTCGATTTCCAATTCGATGTAAGTTTTCTGAAGACAATATCTTCCGTTTTTAGTGCATAGACGGAATATTCGTTTGCATTAAGTGTGATAAGGACAAGTATAGCGCTCAAGATCTGCTGAACCTTTGAGGGCGTAGTGTGAGTTTAATCTGGTTGGCTGTCCAGGGTTCGATTTCCAATAAACGATTAGAATTAAAAATTATGTGTCAATTGATATAAACTGTAGTTTAGATCAATTAACACATAATTGCTTACTCTTGGGAACTTTCCCAAGAGGTAAGCAACAGATAGAAATGTCAAAGAGTGCGAAATTCTAAGTTGTTCTTGCCTTATTTTTATGACTGAATTAATTTATGCACGTACACTAAGAAATCTTAAAAATCTCACGCTACGCTCTCAAATATCAAGTATTAATAAGAACAATAATATTGCAATAGTAATAATAGTGTCGGTTATATGACGGTTTCTTCGCGATCACAATTACCTATAATATAAACTATACTCAAATTATTTATATCTGATCCGTAGTGGATGAGACAATCTTTATTTTATAAGGCTATTGCAGAACTTAGCTTTTTAAGCTGTTCGGTCGTCGTAGTTTTTATTCTTTGCGTAGTCGAGGAGCGCACAACATCTAGTGATGTCTTGCAGTCGTAATGGCGTAATGTCGAGAACCGTTTCTAAATTACGACGGTCGAACAGCGCGAAAGCTGAAGTAGCTCAAATTGGTATTTTGGGAATTTACGTTTCAGTGCAGTAATTGAGCAACATTTCTTAATAGGTTTCTAGAATTCGTTCGTTAGAACACTTAAATATTCCTTGTTATCTAGTAATTGTTGGGCTGCAAATACTATTGGTTCTTTTTGTACAACTTACGAGTCTCGTTGATTTATTGGTAGAGCGTCCGATTTTTGTAAGGTCGTCAGCTCAATATCTGGACTTGCATTAAAAAAATTTTTTTGGCGGAAATAAATCTTCGTAAGAACTCTAGCATGTCCTAAGAGCCTTAGACGAAGATTTGTGTGATCTGGTATTATGCAAGCCCCAGTCCCAACTCGGGGAATGGTCCAATCTTCCAATACGTAAAAGATAAACTCTATTGCGACATCGGTTGTTACGCAATATGATGAAATTATGTATTTATTTTAATGAATTGTTCGTTTGTTATGTACTGTCTCATTCAAACAAATATTGTACAGGTTACTTATTATTCTATAATCGTAAATATTGAATTGCTTGACATTATATTGTTCATGAACTGCATAATAAATCTTGCGAAAGAAAACTTGTTTCTTTTTAGGGTTATGTAATCAAAGGATGAAACGGAAACGAGTGTTTGTGACCTGTATTTGTGGCTGTATTTCGAGAACCACAAGAGTTAAACTTTTGAGAAGTTATGGATCTATCGCTTTGCCACAATAGCAAAAAAGGTAAGGGGCCTTCTTAAGTATTTGTCAATGGTTGGACTTGCTTTTCGTTCTTATTGTAGTGAAGCTCCTCGTCGGGTAAGTTTTACAATTATTACAAAAATGATATAATTCGTGAATCGCAAATAAAAAGTATAAAGCTGTTTCGACCATTTTGTAAACACGTAATTGATAGAGAATTCAATAAGTGAAGTAGAATATTCGACGTGCACAGAGTTTTCAAAAACTTTGCTGTGGGTGCCGATTCAAGTCCTTCCCAAGTCATATTTTTTTTATTGATTTCTTTTCTCTTAACTGTACTTTTTATACTACAGTTGCCGAGCGTTTTGAAAAATCCAAGCTTTTTCATTTCTTTCGTTTATCGTATTAAAAAGATTTATAAATTTTTAATGATGCAACATACGTTATTATTTTCATCGACTAATAATACATAGTAAATTTAAATATATAGTCAAATCGCGGATGTTATTATATGTTTACAGTTTATGTATATCGACTCTTTAAGTAGTAAAACAGGTAATACCAGAAAATGTATGTATAGGTTTAATATCGTATACAAATGGTCGCAATAGATACAAGTAGATAAAGATTATATACTTGGGAAATACATTTTTTAAATATTATTTACTTTGAAATGGTAGAAGAGCTTTGTAATCTTGTATGTATTACTGTAACAAACTAATCTCTCCATCATTTTTTGTATGTTTCCGGCTTCGAACCCCTTACTCGTAGACAAGCATGAAGTTAAATTACGATGTGAGCACTGCTTTCTCCCCATGTGTGTATATTTTTATCAAAATTACATAATGTTTACGAAATTGGTATTTGTATTGGTATTCCTATAGATACTTCTGCAGTTGTTTTTGAAATAAACACCAGAGAAACCTGTTATCTTAAACGACTCGACTGATTAGCATTTCGAATAGTAAAGCTTGTGATACCAGTGTCTACACAACAGTTTCATGTTTAACGCGTTCAGCTATGTCTGATCCAAAAGTAAGTAAACATTTATTCTAGAAAAATCGTTTTTTAACTAGAATGTATACACTTAAAACAAGTGTAAGTTACTTATTAGTTAGTTTGCTTGTGAATTAGTTTAAATGTTTTTATCATAATTTTGTGTATCACGAAGATAATTCTAGTAAACATTTATTTTAGGTTTAGGTATTCGACGTATAGGCAACCGGTTTTATTAAATTATTCTACAACCTACTTTGAATGACTATAATTTAATAACTTTTATTATTTTAACAATACGGTGACTGCCGTTTGCGGTTTTGATCTTGCTGCTGCAAAGCATCCGAAACGCCGGGGCGTAGTTAAAATAATTTTCATAAGTTTAACTAATATCTTTCGCGTTTCAAACCGTTAAAGTGTTTTATAAATGTGTGTGCTCCTGTAAACTAAAGACAGTATTTAACTTTTATTATTTATCCTATAAATATATATTTTCTGTATATTATTTTTTAAATTGATTCTGTCTAGTATCTATCAGGATTTGGTTCGGAGTTTGCCAGCGAGGATCCTCGCAGGCCAGGGTCCCTTCCAGAAGGCCAGAATAGTCCACAGCGCTGTGCGTATGGCCTCTACGCTGAACAACTTTCTGGCAGCGCATTTACGGCTCCAAGAAATGAAAACAAACGTTCTTGGCTGTATAGGTTAGTAAACACTTCTTTCTATAATAATATCTTGAATAACCAATTCTACTAAAGGTAGTTTAGTATAAATTTAAATTTTGTTACAGAATCCGTCCGTCCGTGGTCCACAAGCCATTTAAACGCTCAGCTATCGCAAAATATTTAACTCATAAGTGGGATGAGGCCGAGCCAGATCCGAACCAAGTACCTACTTGTTTCTTGAATTCTTATAATCATAGAATTCTTTATTACACAAACATATTTACACCGTAGAACATAGACAATTAATAATATTATATACATATACAAATGTTTCTGCAAAGGCGGCCTTATCGCTTATGGAGATTTCTTCCAGGCAACCTTAAACTAGAAATTTAACACTAACAAAACACAAGCTGAATCTACTTGAACCGCATTTAATTTTATGCCTAAGGCATGTGACACTTTAAATAATATTATTTTTACGAACTGTATTCCCCACTCTTGTAAATGTTAACAAGATGATAAATTAAGTAATTCATTACCAAAGTTACATAATATGTATTAACAAGTATCGATGGAGTCGTGGGTTCGATCCCCGCAGGGTCCAACTTTTTTCTAATAAATTTATATTATTTCGGAAACATGTTGGACTTCGTCTGGAAATGTGGATTGTAATTGGGTGGTAGGAATATCGAAATTTCGTCCGAATAAACCACCGTCCACAGATGTAAAAGCCGTGAAGTTTAATCACGTTTCGGTTTCAGTCTGTTCTCCTCTATCATAAAAAAAAGAATCTTCTATCTTGTAAAATCGTCTATGTCTGATTTCTAGTCGCGCTGGTCGCCATTTTCCATTCCGACGAGCGAAAAAGTGGATTTTGTTGGGGGGTTGCATACCGTTTGTGGCGCTGGGGACCCTCGCGCAAGGAACGGAATCGCTATTCATGTCTACCTGTGCAACACGTCGATGGACAAGAGCGCGTTCTACAGCAGCGATGGAGATCTACTCATCGGTATGATGATAACGCACGAATGATAATTTTTTTATTTTTTGAAAAATTTTACGACTCGGGCAGCTTGGAACGGGTCTTGAAACGGCATCCACAGCGTTCGGTGTGTTGCTTAGATGCTGGTCTGATCGAATTCTGTGGATGCCTGTTCAAGTCCTGTCGATTTTAATTTATACAGTGCCACCATGTGCCATAACATGTGAAAAATATTAAAGTTTTCGAACTTTATTATTTTTCACATGTTATTGCATCTTTATACTAGCTGTGTCCGCGACTTCGTTCGCGTGGAATATGCTGTAACTTTGGGCAACTTTTTTTTTTCAACTTTAGAAATTATAGCTAGATTTAGGAATTATGTAATCCACGGCGCCGTCCGCTTCGACAATTGTGGCGATGCTTTTTTTAATTTAAGAAGAGCATATATTTTAATTGGAAATAGTTTCTTAGACCATTCTTTGTAATTTTACGGTAAATTGTAAGGCTAGTGTTTTATTTCTTATAATTAATTTGCTTTTCAATACGTGTTTTATGTATCATGATAATTATAAAAAGTTAATACTGAAATTAACAAAAAAATATTTATGTTTAGTTCCGCAACAAGGCGTCCTGAAAATCAAAACTGAATTCGGCAAGATGGAGGTCGCACCGAACGAAATCGCTGTTATTCAACTCGGGATGAGATTCGCCGTTGCTGTCGATGGACCTACGAGGTTTTTATTTATTTTATAAAGCTTTCAGCTAAATAAAGAAATATGTATCTTATATCTTAAATAGTCTAATGGAATTAACAATAGTAATGGTAATTCTTATGTACCTAACAAGTTAATATGTAAACCATTGACTGAAAGAAGAAACAACATCCGCACTACAGTCTTACATACACGTCCAATCAAATAATATCTAATTAAATCTTTAACATTTTAAATCACAGGAGTACCGATTTTATACTTATATATATTAAAATATTAAAAAACTTGTTTTCTAATGTTTAAACAAATCTCATGCAACGGTTTAAAACGCGAAATATTGTTAACTTACTTTTATTTATTATTTATTATCGTACGAGGAAACAGATGGCGCCAGCGGAGAAGATTAAAGTTTGCCATTTGTCACCCTCCATCTTTAGACTACCCCAGGGCTTTGTACAACATCCGAACCGTCAATTAGTCAGTTGGAATAAATTAAAAGAATGTTAACTAATAGATTTCGTGTTTTAAACAGTTGAAAGTGTGTACTACTCACGTAATAGAAGGTAAATAAATCACCATATTATTGTGTATTGGTAACAGGACTTCATACATAATCATGTATTTTTTACAATGCTACAGGGGTTATATCTTAGAAGTATTCGACGGACACTTCAAGTTACCAGACTTGGGCCCTATTGGTGCCAATGGTTTGGCTAATCCTCGCGACTTCCTTACCCCAGTTGCTTGCTATCACGATGAAGAAATACCAGGTATATCTTTAAAGAACATAATAAATCTTTAGAATCCTATCTTCGAATAAATATAAGTATAAGATAGTATTATAAAATACCAGTATTCGAGAAAACTGCGGACTCTAATCGGTTTTAAAAAGAAAACGTGATGAGAGTAGGTGGCATTATATAAATTTAAAATCTACTTAGAAAGAAAAAATTAAGTGCTTCGTGCCAAAGCACGAAGCTGAAAGTTCTGGCACCAGGAAGCCTTGCTCTTTGCACTTCTCAACAACGTCATCTTCTGGGTTCATCCTGTGTTTATACAAAATATAGTCATTTTAATGTGAGCATAAGAGTAAAATGAAAGAAATTACTAATTAATATTTTAATATTAATAGGTTTCATTTTTAAATAACCAATTCAACTTTTTATATTTTTATGTACTATGAATAATATTTGTATCCACAGGTTTTAAGATAATAAGTAAATACCACGGAGCTCTCTTTGAAGCTGAACAAAATCATTCCCCCTTTGACGTCGTGGCGTGGCATGGCAATTATGTTCCGTACAAGTACGACTTGAGCAAGTTCATGGTTATCAATTCTGTCTCGTTTGACCACTGCGTATGTATATATTTTTTAAACATAATTAAACTTCACGGCTTTTTTATCTGTGGACGATGTTTCGACCTGGAGGGAATTTCGATGTTTCTACCACCCAAATAATAAGGTTTCCAGACGAAATCCGTCATGTTTCAGAAACATTTTAAATTTAGAAATTAGAAACATCTCGGATCCAACCAAGGTCCAAGGGTGACAAACACTTTGGACCTTGGTGGTGATCGACCCCCGACCCATTTACTTATTAGCTATACCTTGCTACCATTAGACCAATGACATATTAGACATAAATTAGAATCAGATCTTATAAATACTATTGTATAGTAAATATGTTTTAGGATCCTTCAATATTCACTGTCCTAACTTGCCAGTCCAATAAGCCGGGAGTAGCGATTGCGGATTTTGTCATTTTCCCGCCTAGATGGTCCGTCCAAGAGAACACATTCAGACCTCCATATTACCACAGTAAGTAACTTTATGGAAAAGTGTCGCTGTAAATTAGAAAGGATTTGTAGAATTGCAGAACATCATGAACCCTTATTAACCTATTAACAGTTGCACTACAGAACTATCGTGTCACTTTGATTTTTTCTCCTCATCTTTCTAATATACTCTTGAATGTATATAAGTTTCTTATATAAGTGTATAAGTTTAAGAGTACAGGCAAGCATGAGGTTCTTTTGACAAGATAATCTTTTGATAAGATGTATGCTCAACAAGTGCTCAATGCGCTGTCTACCTGTATTTTGGCTTTGGTTATTGGGAAATCCACGGCCTGAAACCGAAACGCGATTAAGCTTCACGGCTTTTTTATCTCACCCATTTAATATCCACATTTCCAGACGACAAATTGATTAGAAATGTAATGGACCCGGTGGAAATCTAACCCACGACCCGTTGATTATTACCCATACATTGCTATCATTAGACCAACGATCCCATCTTAACATTTAACTACCCTTAATTTACTTTTAAAAATAATCATGTTTTTATTAGATAAAGGTTTAAAACGCGGTAGCAGCAGTAGTCACAGCGAGGCATCCGAAACGTCGGGTCATAGTTAGAATAATTCGTGATGTTTAACTAATACGCGTTTTAAAGCGATAATTTTTTTTTTATTTAAATCTGTACTGCTCACGTAACTAGACTGTGATAATTTTTCACTAAACTAAAAATAATTTGCAGGAAACTGTATGAGCGAGTTTATGGGTTTGATCCTGGGTTCTTACGAAGCGAAAGAAGGCGGTTTCCTCCCTGGTGGAGCCTCACTCCACTCAATGATGACACCGCACGGACCGGACACGCAATGTTTTAAAGCTGCTTCTACGGCCAAACTTGAACCGCAAAAAGTTGCTGTTGGGACCCAGGTTAGCTTATTTAAAAGGGTTCACCTTTATTTTTCTCTTTCAAAAAATACTTACGACATTTATATTAGGAAATACGACTCCGGCAACCACAACGTTCCGTGCTGTTGAGCTACAGAGTCCTAGTCACTAGTATGTTAATCCTAGTCCCGCCCGAGTCATATATATAAAAAAAATTTTTTTTCATATATATTCAGATATTTATTATTATGTTTCACCATTTATCACCAGTCCTTTGACATTATAATAAGTTTAATATAGTATCCTAGTTTATCAAACAACTTTCACTTACAGGCCTTCATGTTCGAATCGTCCCTCAGCATGGCAATCACGAAATGGGGGGCGGAGACCTGCCAAAAACTGGACGCAAAGTATTATGAGTGCTGGCAGGACTTACCCAAATTATTCTCTGACAAAATTAACGTTTAAACTTTAAAGCCTCCAATTGCGATGTAAGAGCGCTATGTACTATGTATCTACTTATAATGAAACACTATTTGGTTTGAAAAATAATTGTATTTTGTATAAAATGAATTCTGTAGTCTTATTGAACACTAGCTTTGGTCGCAACTTCGTCCGCGTGGAATAACTATATTGGGCATCAATTTTTTTTTTCTTTTTTCAAATACTTACCTATCCTCTTTACCGCCGTTTTACGATAATCTTAAAGATGAATTTTTTTTTACGTATTTTTGGCATCTCAAACCTCGCAGCGCACCTAAGGGAAGCCCTCAACGATTTTTTCCTATTATCGTAGTCTTTTTTTGTAGCTTAAAGCGTTCTCCACAAATGGTCTAATCAAGACAAAAATAATTTTTCAATTCGAACTAGATCCTTAGATTAGCGCGTCCAAACAAACGATTTCTTCGGCTTTAATTGAAGTTTAACTTAAGTATAAATATTCTCACGCTTATTAATGAAAATAAGAGGAATGATACAATTTTTCCACTCCCCAAAGATCTAAATGAACTCGCTCGTAAAGATTGCTTTGCGTACTCCTGTAATAGAGCACAATCAACTTTCCTCTGCTGTTTCATTGAAGCCCTAATGTGAATCATAAAACAATTCATTCCTTGAGTGACATGTATAGACGGCCCTTTAACATCAATAGCGTTTATCACAGTTGTGTTTCGAACAGTTTCGCCACTATTATTGGTTATGCTTGTATCCACCGTTACAGTTTTGGCCACAGTTTGCGTGTTATCAGACTCCAATATAAAAGAGGACATCACTCTACAATCGACGCGGGTTTCCTCGTATTCACCGTTCGGTCGTTCGATACGAAGTTTACAGATCTCTCCTGGCGTTGAAATATAATCCTGATGATTCCTGTGACTTCCAGACATCCTCCCCAAATTGTACAGGGCTAATCCGGTTAGTAAGGTATCGAATCGACTTCCAGAATTCCTGTACTCGTAAATATAAACCGGTGGGGATCCATGGTAAACCGGGTGGTACGTTGATCCGTAATGTATTTGTTGTGGTGGACTATAATGGTAGTGGTGTACTTCTTTGTGATAAACGTTTGTTCTATATCCGTGGTGGTGAGTGTTTCCAATTGTGGGTGGTTTTGAATTGCCAGATAAACCGGTGGTAGGGGGGTAAGAGTGTCGCGTGCCTGACACACGACCACCTGTAGATTGATCGCTGAATATTAGAATGCTTTGCTGACTACTCTATAATGCTTATTTGTCTAAACACCAATAAATAAATTTGCTCAAGTACCTATACGTAAATCTAAGTCCAATGCATAAGTTAAGAAATTATTACTTAATTAATATTATATTATTATCCATAAAAACAAAATAGAATAACTAATAAAAAAAGAAATTGCTAATTCTGATTTTGCGATCCATCCTAGACACCATCAAAAACACATTTACCCTAAATTCCTTCTATGACGCGAAGAACAGAAAGCATGAGACTGGATAGAAGGTAATATACACGAACTAATAAATACGATGTGTTGTCGACCTTTTGTCACTTAGAACATTCCGAATCTGTGAACACTGTTTCATGACCTAGACCAAAAAATATTCCTACCACCCATGTAGCGTCCAAATCTCCAGAGGTGTTTCAGAAAAAATAAACAATTATTTTCGTATAACTAAACATTGGTTTCTCTGGAAATCAAACCAACGAGCCATTGCTACCATTAGACGAACAATTCTATTTCTTAGACTTAAAAAAGAAAAAATGTAACCTTTATAGAACAACTGCCATGAACTCTGCATTCCGAGCTGCACAGCACCATTTATTGTCGTCCATAAACACGCTATTAGGACAAGTGGTAGAAACATGGTGTCGTAGCAAAACAAAAGCCGCGACTAGCGCACAGTCGTGGCGACACAATATCGGTGTCCCCTGGGTGTGGCGAGTCGATTCCCATTACCAAATGACGTAAATACACGCACGCGATGTTGTGTATTTAATTAATAGCGGTTTATTCATTCAGGTAAGTTTCTTTTATGTATTTATTTGTTACGTGGTTAAAGTGATGACCGCCTCGTGGCTTAACGCGGGTTTGTATCCCGGGGGTTAGCTTAGCTAGTAGTGGATCAACAGAAAAAGAGTAAAAGCTAACACAAAAAAAACTGGTTGGGTATGGGCCATAAATAGATATTAAAGATTTGTTTGTTCTTTCAGTAGGTATCTTTTTACTGTAATGTAGTGGTTGTTCAATATTGAACAACCACTACATTACAGACATATGTCTTAATACATACATATAAGCAATATTTTCTCAAATCAAATCTGTGGACTAACTTGGGCATGATTGTAATATGTCTGAAAAAGGAGTTTTCAACTTTATCTGGCGCAACTGAATAAGAAATAAAACACGTAATGCTTATCATCTAAGTTTACTTCGTAATAATTAGCAGAACCTAGAATTATTTATTATATAATATAAAAAGAGAAGTTCAGTCGCGCCACCGCACAAGTGACTGCATCGACACAACATTGTGACTTACAATAACTTAATAAATTATAATGGAATCTTCTCGTATCGGCATAACTTTCTAACATGTTTAATACAGTACATATCCACAGACTATAATGCTTTGAAATACAGATAATAGAAAGTCGGTAAGATCGAGTAAAATTCAAATATACCCTCAAGCCGTTTAAAGCGTGGTCCTAAATTATGTTAGTTAAGAGATCCCTGTTTATTTTTTTTCGAGTCGCCCGCAACCGAATTTTACATTCATATATATATATGCAAGTTACCCCCAATTATACATAAGTGAATTTATTTTTTTTTTGAAAAGTTTCCAATTTAGTAGTTTGGCATATGACTTGAGGATATAATTAAAAATAATTATATAATCGTGATGACGTTCATACTTTTCATTTATGTAGATTACAAGGATGCAATTCAGAAATCCTAATATTGAAAACACGGTTATGTCATAATAATAGATATCAAAGAACACAGCATATCATCCAAATGTACAACACCGTTATAATATAATTTTTACATTAATTTTGTCTAATTTTCAGAATTTAGTGTACATGGAACATTTCATATCTTTCAACAATTGTTGTTAATAAAGAATCTAATATAAAAATACGGCCATTTGAAATGTGCGCTATTCAACGCGACAAAAATGATAACTGTTTGAAGTATAGGACCTTTCCATGTCTCTCAAAATAGATATAGCCAGTGTCACGGTTCTCTTGGAACATTCCAAACGTTTTTCTCATGCACTGACAACACTGAATAACGAGCTAATTAACTGAACATAAATACGCGTTCAAAGATCTAGTCCAGCCCTGCAAAGGTGATGGAGGCTGGGCAGAAGCTAGCCTTGCTTAGCCATGGTTCACATTGACACCCGACTCTAATTCGGAAGCCGGAGTCTCGGGTTCATCATCATTGTATATGTTCTCCGCCATTTGCCAAACCTGGAATGGAAAATGTAGTAATTAAATTTTTTAATATGTAGTTTTAAAGTTCTAAAAAGATTTAACATGTTTTAAAGTGAAGATTTAGTGTTTATCTTTACAAATTCCATGTTTATTTATAATTGAACGTCTTCTTATAGAATTAGTAGATTCTAAGATTAGATGTAACCAATTAGATGTAATCAAGAGAAGTGATCTGGTCTGGATATAATGTAATTTTATTACAACTATTCAGTTATCTAATTACCTGCATAATGTTATCCTCAGAGACAGAACAGATGACCCAGGGCTCATTGGGGTTCCAGGAGAAGTCTGAGATTTTGGCAGTGTGTCCTCCGTGAATGAACAACAACTCGGGAGGACCATCCTCTGCATCCTCAGCAGTTTGCTCTTCACCGATTTTAGACAGATCCCATACATGCAGTCTGTGGTCACAATAGATTTTTATTATCACAAATTATAATAAATGTGACAGTTGGGGTATGTCAATAATATATAATAAGTTATAAGATAAAATAAATACCTTCTGTCAGTACCGCTGCTCGCAAGAATAGTCTCATTGTGGGGTGACCACTGAACTTGGAATATTTCATCCTTGTGTGACTCAAAGGAGTGTAGTTTCAATTTCAGATTACGAAGATCCCACAAAGCCACCTAAAAATATGAAATATTTATAAAAATCCATGTATCTCACAAAGCAGATTCTATTATCAATCTTATATGTATACAGAAATGAAATATAATAAACATTTTTGGGCTAAACCAATCATACTACAAAATATACCTTTAAATAATCTTGCTGGGGATACTTACAGTTTTGTCGGCACTGCCAGTAGCAAGTATAAACTCTGAATATGGGTTGAAGCTGAGACAATTGACTTCAGCGGTATGGGCATCCACTGTATGGGATGGCTTTGAAGTGTTGTTACATCTGTTAAAATAATCATAATAACATAGAATGCATTAGAAAATTACAAGTTTAATTTAACAATTGATTTTAATGGTATAAATAATTTTAGATTTAATATTTAATGTGAGTTAAGAAAACCAATGGTTTTAGCTTACTAGTTACTACTGAACTCTTAAAATAAATTATAGATACACATTTAACAATGATTAACTGTTCCCTATACATATATATATATATACATAACCTCTTATAGAGGAATAGTCTGAAGACTGAAGACGGAATATCCGCGACACTATATGTCTATCTTTTAAGGTTGACTTGCAAGAACGACGGGACTCGAACGACGGGTCGCGAGCATTGGGACGCGACCGTTGTCCTGGGCAGCTTAAATTTATAAAGATGTAGAGGTTCGCAAAAACATGGATGCCCAAAACAACTATTCTACTCGGACTATGTTGCAGACACAGCTAGTATGTAATATATTTTGTTTCATCATATGCAGAAGATGCTTGGGTTCAAAGCTCAAAGATAATATGAGGTTGTTAGAGGCAGAGTAGCCCTAACTGCAATTTTGTCTGTGGTCACAGGAATATTAGAGAAAATAATATGAAGGAATATTAAATTAAAAATAAAGTTATCTAAAATATATCGCGTTTTAAACCCTTAAAGTGTTTTATTTAAATGTGTACTACTCGCATAAACCACAGACAGTATTTAGACTTGACTTATTTATATTTTATAGCCTAAAAATGTTAATCTACAAGAGCACAGTGATCGAAAATTATTATTACAATTCTAACATAAATAATAGTACAAATCCATAGGATGGCATCTAATATTTATACATTACCTGGTATCCCAGATCATCAGTTTCTGGTCATCAGCGACAGATCCAAATAATGACTCGTGCAGCAAATGCCATGCCACATCCTCAACAACAGCAGTGTGACCAGTGAACACCGACTTAGCCTCAATCACACGACCTTCTTTCGGCGTCGCGTTTATGTCCCACAGGCATATTGTGTGATCATCGCTGTAAAGAGATATAAACATGTTTTAAGCTTTAAAAAACCAAATCCACCATTTAACTTGTATTGTGCTGTTGTTGCTTTAACCAATTTACCACCTCTTGCACAATGTTCAATCTAAAATTGTTTTTTTTTAAGTTAATGTATGATGTAAATCTTACCTAGCAGATAGAAGATAACCATTCAGGTTTGGGTTCCATGATAGGCCATAGCCTTCCTTCTGGTGGCCGCGCAACCTAAGAAGAGCCCAGATTTTAGTACATACCAAACATTGACTATACATATATATTAAAAAAACTTTACTTTTTGTGAAAAAAAAAATATTAGTAATTTACTGCTGAGAAAATAATCTACAATAATTTTAAAACCCTTATAGATAATGTCAAACACAATGTTTCACCTTAAGTCTGGATGACATTCACCGGAAGGTTCAGGTTTGGAAGGATGCTTGGTATAATCAAATACCAAAACGTCTGAAGAAGGTGTCTTTGTAGCAATAACGCAGGGATTCTGGGGCATGTAACGAGCTCTGTTTACTTCACCTTCGTGGTTTATCTTAATTTCTATGTCTATTTTTCCTGATACTGAGCCAAATCCACCAAACTCTGAAATTAACATAACCCCTTATATTAAAAAACCTCTCATAGTATTAAATATACATAGTCGTAACATCTCCTCATGATGCCATCTGCTCACGATGGCCAAACATGTAGAATCTTTTCTTTCTTATGTCTTGCACCATTATACATTTTATTGAAGTGGGTACTGCAAGCTTTAACTCAAGACAATATTCCATATAATGGTACTTAAAATGAATGGAACATATAAAGATAAGCGTACCTCCTTTGTCATTGTCATAATGACTGGCATCAAACTGTGCATCTTCGTTTGGGAGTTGAACACTTGCAATAAGCAAATGATTCTGTTCATCTGATGTGTGTGTGCCCAAAATTAATCTAAAAATTAAAACAGAAGGATTAGAAAAAAATACATTCTGCATATTATTACAAGCTATTGAAAGAAGTCATTAGAATAACTTTTGCCATACCTGTGGACTGAGTAATCCTTGCCTTCAGGTCGGGTCACGTCAGGAAGCCACTGAGCAGTCAGTGAGGGCCATTCAAGAGCGTGTGTCATGACTAGGTCGTAGAGGAAGGGGGTATTCTTTTTCCAAATTTTGTATTCTTCATTGATAACCCTTTCTTCAACTGCATCATCGAAAGTTTCTGTAATAAGTCAATGCAGCACCGATTAAACATTTTTATAACCAAAAAAACTAAAGCCCGATCTTGTCGGATGTCGGCTTTGAGAAAACTGAAGTTATTGGCACGATTAATCAATAACTAATTACCTCCGTCACCTTTATCACCCATCTCACAAATTATAAACGATGGCGTTCGTGAATATGACTAAAAATTATAAATACTAAATCTGACCGGGCCTCAAAAGGCGCCAAACAGCAAACGATAATTTTCTCTTTGGCGTTATTATGGTGGACAACATACAAACTTCCGGTCAAAACACGAACTTAATTTGCCAGAACTCAAAACCTTAAACTTAAACGCTTATATAGCACTTTATAAAGTAAAAAATACGAGTAATTATATTTTTAAATAAATGGTAAATTTGCAGTTCTCAAAGTTTCTATGAGTTCTTTGAATGTTTAAATATTAGAAGCCGGAAATAAAAATGATCTTTGGAGAACAAAAGCACAAAGACTCAAAATAATCACAGACAAGATATTTATTAATCCAGATAACAAATATTGTTTGCTTGTGACGTCAGAACTACCATCGCTCAAGAGATTTTAATACATATTTGAGAAAAGTAGTTGTAGTATATCTTTATTTTCTGTGGTTAAAATTTGTTTTAAAGTCATTGTCATTTATTATTTGCCAAATTGTTAATATGGCTGATGCAGCAATTGCACGTCGCGAAGCACGAAGAAGAAAAATATTAGAGAATTCCCAAAATAGACTTCAACGAATTGCAGGCAAAGCTGGTGAAGAATGCTGCAGAGGTAATATTATAATTTCACGCCGCAGGCTTTGTCTGTTCAAGGATAAACTTTTACCGTTTGTTGTTCTTTCAGAATCACCTGTCCACTCCCCAATATCGGAGTATCAGGAGACGGTTTCTTCTGAAATCAGCAATAGCAAGGCACCATTACACAATGGAGTGCTAAGTTCATCTTTATTGTCCCCTGAGAACTTCATATTAGATCCCGAAGCGACGACAAATCACAACAGTATTATAAATGACTTAGCATCTTTACTACCTCCAAATGTCTCGGGCAACTCAACTTCGGAAGCCGTGCAGAAACCCTCACTAATGGAATATAGTATTACCTATAAGTATGACATTGTACTGTTATCGTTGGTGTTTCAGTTTTTATGCAATTTATCTATGATTTCTTTAGAAAACACATATTTTTTTCTTCCACTTATTATATATGCAGGTACAAAGATGTTGTGGTATCCACAACAAGCAAGCAATTCTAATATTGGAACCATATTGATGCTTTTAAAGGGTACATCTACCCCCCATATTCACACCATGTTAAATGTAATGCAAGTTATCAGTGCAATCAGTTTGGACGTGTGTGTCTTTGTCTTTACAACTATTTGCATACAAGCTATTAACATTTTCATAAATGATAATTTTGTTGCATAGGACATCGTTCTAAAACATACATGTCAAAATATGTTATGACTGAGCAATTGACTAGGTAGCTAGCTAGGTTTTGGGAATGTATGTTTTTAAGCTTGTGCCTTTAACATAAGTGATAATATATTGTATAATGTGTGCGTTTTAGTCACATATTGCCATCTTAGCTTAAATTTTTGTAAGTTTGTACATAATATACAAAAGAAACATGTAAGTTATATAATAGTTAAATTACTGCCTTGTACAGCCCAATTAAGATATCTCCATATTTTATGAGACATTGAAGTATTTTTCTATTTAGTCACAACGAAATTTGGTTGTGTTCAAGTTTCCATGTAAATAATCATGCATTTAATTATTAAGGTTGGTGATTTAGTGCTTAAAATTATTTTTGTACTTTATTACAGTAGCAAATTCTAACTTAACAATGATTAAACATAGATAACACTACAAACCTACTTTATATAATATATAGAATTTTTTAAGCAATGAACTATTAGATGTTTCAAAATTTGTATTAAACAGGATTATTTGTTTCTTACTATGGCAGTCTGTGACTGAATGAATAGAAATTTAATCAAGGAATTAGGCTCATGTAAAAGCTTTTTAATTTGCTTCATTTGTAAATGTATTAATTAATATTCTATATGAAATGTTGTTTAATCATACCTTTCCCACAATCAAATCAATTTAATATTTGTGACATTTACAAATTATAACATTAGTTTCTCCTAGTTTCAGGAATTTTATTATACTCTCTTTGGAATCAAATACTAAATATATATTTTTTAAAACTAGCTATCATATCAAACAACTACTAATAGAATCTAACCAAAGAAAAAGCAATAGGTACAATCTTTTTACCCATATGACTAAAAAACCCTCAAGTATTTTTAATATTCTTAGTTTATAATTAATACTTTTGAATTATAAGTAAAGAAAACTGTAGATTTTTTTGTAGTAAAAGACAGCATGTAAAATATTTTGTATATTCTAAAATTTCAGAATAAAAGTTGGTTTTCGTTTTATCTTCAGTTTTAATATCTAATTCTTCCCAAACCTGAAAAACATTCATCTGCATGTAGGAGATATTCTTAAGTTCGCTAGAAAATTGTGACAACTCACTTCTCAATACGTACAATAAACCAAACTGTTTACAATGGGCTATGTGACTGATTTTTAAAATGTACTTAATATTATTTGGTAGATGTGAAGATACACCAGAAAAGTAGTATGTATTTTTAAATTGCGCGCCTGAACGTTAATTTTGTAATAAATAGGGCAAGTGACGTCACGACCTTATATTGGCGAATGGTGTATATCGATCATATTAAGATCTACAATCTACATGCATTTATACTAAAGGTTAACATTTTAACTCAATTAAACATTAATACAACGAAAAGATCTGTTTTGTACTAGGAAAAGCACGGTGGTTTATAGTACTGTCTATAAACAAGTGACGTCGTCAAAAACCCGACAAATCAGGAGCGTGTCTTCACATGACAAATGCTTAAAAAAGTTAATTTTTTTTGCAGTTTTTAAATTTAAATCAATTATAATTTTTAAAAAAAAATTGACGCTATATTTTTTGCATTGTCAAATAGCCCAATACTCTAAACTAAATTGTATTATGTGAGGTCACCCGAACTGTGACCAGCCATGAATACAAATAGAGGATCTATAATAATAAAATACATGTGCATTCAAAGCTCTTATAAAAGAAACATTAAGAAGCCATGCTCTTAACCAGATGAAAAAATGGATAGTGAGAAAATAAAAGAACAATATAGTATGCAAATCTTATAATGATTTTGTAATCTAGCAGTGACTTATATCTAAAATTATAACTTAAAAAAGTTCTTAACTTTATTTAAAAAGTTCTTACTCTTCCTCTTTTCACTGGGATTGGCTTCGTTATGTTTAATAGTTACTTTTGTATTGGCACCCGTGCTCTGACAGTTTTCTGATTTGGTATTAGTAATACATATTGGTTCCTTACTTAAGGGGGCTAATGTTGTCTCTCGTAGACTAGGTGGCTTGGTTACATTATCACCAGAAAGCTTAAGATTATCTTCCAAGTAATCAGAAGTCTTGTCAGAGCACCCGAGTTCCTATTCATTTTCTACTGCCTTTGTTTTCTTGCGGGGGACTTTCTGACGTACAAGATCCATACGACCAATTGATATCATTTTAATTTCCCATGCTTTTAAATCTTTCCTGAAAACAAAAACTATTTTTTTAAATTTAAATAAAAAAATAGTGGATGGGAGATGGAATGAAATGGTTAGCTGTTAATAAGGACTGATCACTGACACTATAAGGATCCTTTATAGAAAAGTAATAATAACAATAGGAAAAAATCTGTTCTTCACGCTGTTATACAGGAATCTGTGTGGTCTTTAATATTTATTTAAAAAGTTTGATAGTACCTTCATTGATGTAGCAATCAATGACATACACATATTGATACCTGCCTAACAGCTCCAAGAATCACAGATCTATGAAACTTACTTATACTTCTCCATAAGATCTTGAGCCTGTTTTTCTAACTTTTTTCGCTCATTCTCTGGTAAACTAAGCCAATCAGCCTTAACTGTTTCTTGGTAACTCTTAAGATCCTTTTTTTTATTCACATCCTTTCTTGATGTCATATAAAGAATATAAGAGGACATAGGCTTTTTTGGACGACCTAGATCCTTATAGTCCTAAAAAAAAGGCAACAAAATTAAAAAGCTATACAAGTGATACACATAACATTTTGTTATATTTAACTAACAGCCTTTAATTTTCTTTTTTCCTTGGCAGCTGCCATTTCTTCCTTTACTCGTTTAATATCCTCTTTTTGCTCTTCTGTCAGTGATGCCTGATATAAGTCCCTAATTTTTTTATAGTCTTCAATGTCTTTTTCATACTCTTTAGTCATTTGTGTTTTAGTCTAAAAAAGCAAATATATGAAATACTTTATCAAATTGTGCCAGGTACATATACAAATGTTATTGACTAATTTCGTTGCACAAATTTAAGATCATACTTCACTGTCAAGCTGTTGCCAGTGCTTTGATGTCCATGCTACAGCTTCTTTAGATGTAATACTCGGGTTTTTAGCCAAAATAGCTGGTCGCATTTGAGCCATAAATTTGAAGAATGGTGTTAAAGGGCGCTTGGGTTTTTCTATGCCTAACCTTTCTTCTGCGGATTTTTTCGCATACGTACATGTTTGGGGAGGACAAAACCAACTCGATCTACATAAAAAAATATTTTTATATGTTCATTGTAATTTTTGGATACCTATAGCACAATATCTGAGTTATAAGTTAATTTTGAAATGATAGGTAAACAAAAGTAATAACCTAAAACTTACCTCCCTTGAAAAATACTTTTATATCCTCCAAGTAGATTTGAACTTAATCGATAAATATTCGTTAACGAAGACATTTTAAATCATGAACAAAGATTTAATAGTTGAATATAAAAATATCAATGTCCAAAATATTTTAAAAATTAAGTGTATAGATACGCTTTTAGGAATATATGTCAAATTCAAATTGTTTGGGCGGCAGGCCACAGATAAAGTAGAAATAGAAATACTAATAAAACCATACCACAGATATTTTATCGTAGCAGGGTTGACGCCTATATATATACATACTAGCTATGCCCTCGACTTCGTCCGCGTAAAATAGTGAATTAGGGTAGAATTTTTAATTATTAAGGCTGTTTATTAATGTATGAAGGGGGTATTTAAGGCAGCCAATCTATCGTAAGTGCTCCTTTGCCGCAACACTCTCACCTCACCTCACATCACTCCTACTCTAACTCCCACTCTCATTCCTACACTCACTCCCACTTTTTTTATCTTATTCTTTTTTTAGTATCCTGAAAGTGTTGATATTTAACCTGTGGGGGGGATGAAGTAAGGGTAATTAAAAAAATCATTAAACGTGTATAATTTATTTACATGTACATACATACAAACGGTTCTCTGTCAGCTCTTAGGCATAGCTATTTACAATAACGTTAAATAAGTCTTATAAGCTTAACTACTTATATGTATCTCTATGTTACATCTTTACAAAGGTGGGTTTACAGTTTTCGATTTGTTGATTAAAAAAGTTGTCGTCAAAAATCATACAATATACATTTTAATTATTTGCTTTATACATAATTAGATAGTTTGTCTAATATAATTTAGCAAACTAATCTGTTCCTGTGCTGTTAACCCTGTTAACTGTTTGGATGTGGAGTCCATACTTTGAAAAATGTAAATGTTAAAAAATTTCCTTAGCTGCGAGGTATAATTACTTTAAATTAGCTTAAATTACAGTCAATAGTCCTCCAGTCTTTTAATAGTGGCAAGTTTCACTTAGAACATATTACAACATATATTTTTTTAAATCTAAAGTTTTACACAATACTTAAAAATATCTTCAAAGTTCAACAACACAATTTTGCTTCTTTGACCAGTCCAGTCCAATGCGGATCAAGATATTTGTAATGCAACAAACGATGGAGATCTGCACCATTTGTTAGTTGTCAAGGCGGGAATCTTATTTCCTTAACTATTTCACAGTCTACTTCACAGATGGCACGTTTTACTACGAAAAAATTAAAATCTTTCGTCACAGAATAGTTTCTCCCGCTGAATAATGGTAGTGCCTCGGTTTTCTGTACGATTGTTGCTGAGGTGGTCTGTACGTCGCATACTTATGTGAGTGGCGGTTCAGTGTGTGTGGATGACCGGCATAACAATGTAACGTAAGCGGTGCTGGCGGAGGTCCCACGGGGGGACTTCGCGATTACAGGTTTCCTAGGACTGCTTATTCGTCGCCACAACGTTTTGAGTCGAGGGGTTCCTATCCATACGGCCACCATGACGCCCAATATTTGTGTAGCGAATATTCTGAACAAGAACACCCAAAAGGCTGGTCTCGGTTGCGTTGATGGTTCACTCGAGGGTCCGGGCGCAGCGAGCCAATCATCTCTCCATGCGTACTCGTAAATCCATGTCGCCAATATACACGCTGAAGGAACTGCGTATAGAGCAGTGAACGCTCCTAGTCTTAGAATGCTTTGATCGTTATGAGCTTGAGGTGCTGCTGTCAAGAGCGGTCCGGGTTGAGGAACTGTAGTGGGACGGCGGAGTACTGTCCTTAGCCCAGAAGCCAAGAACACGGAGCCGAGAAGTAGGCAAATGGCTTCAGGAATGATTACCAATGCCAGCAACGACTTGCTTGACTGGTTTCCTACAAAGCAAGTACCTGTAAAAGAAATAATGTGTTAAAACTTTTATAACGGGCACGTAAGTATTAGGCAATAAGCTTTATCGTCGAACGACGACGAATGACAAAATCGATTTGTTAAAACATGGGTTGCGATTCAGTTATCAGCAATTTTGGAAATTCTCGCCTTTTAATGGGTCGGATTCCGCTGATTAGGAGGTCTGAAAAGTGGGTGGGCGAGGTGGTCCATGGCCAGAATAGGTAAACATATTCAAGCATTTCACACTCAGAATACAGAATATCAAAAACCAAAAATAGGTCGACAGCAGCATCGTGCTGCTCCCTCCCTTTCTGTCATAAATGCGTCAAGAAACTTTGAAAGACAGTCTTAGCGGATACGATTTTTCTCGCGAGCTGAATAACATTCCAGAGCATCGCTCAAAGGGAACACCTACAGAAACCTCAGAGAAAAGGTTTTCATTAATAAGGCGATGGTTAAAAGGGAATTAAAATGAAATACGAGCGAGCGACGTGGAAAGGTGTCGTATTTAACGGCTCAAATAATGGCCACACAATTCTTTGGACGCTTGGATAATGGAGGGTATAATAATAAAAAAACCTGATTGAAATTGCAATATGCCTGAGAATCAGAGGGGAAAAGAAGGGATATAAATACAGCACAATAGGACATATACAAACTTCACAAAAGGTTCAAATAAAAAAAAGTCTGATGATGTATGAAGAAGTTATAGAAAAATTCCCTATAAAATAAATGAAGTATACTACTACTACATGAAGTACATGAACTAAATGAAGTATACTAGTACTATGTCCCATAGTTTATACTTTATATTTCATTTGTATGAATGCGACTGTACATATGAACGTATTTGAGGTTGGTAGGATATTAAGTTAGGTAAAGTTAGTAAGAAGTGCTTTATTTTGTTTACTTTTGGGGGATAAAAAAGCATATTAAAATTAAAAACTTTGAACGGTTTAAAAAGGGAAAAATATTAGTTAAATTATTTACAATTTATTATAACTTACGTTTTGCGTTTTAAACCGTTGAAAATGATTATTCAAAAGTATACAACTCGCGTAAACTACAGACAATACCTAAGTAAGTATATAATATATTTTTTTGTTGTAATTGTTTGTAGTAATGTTTTTATACCCACAAATAACTAAGGTTTACAAAAGATTTAAAAAATGTTTTGACATTTTGTTACAATTTGACATTACTACAAAATTAAATATCTAGTCAGCAATTATTATGTAAAAAGCAACGTAAGAAGCTTTATTTGCATTGTAACACTATACTTTAAAATTCTTGGTTGTTCAATGTTTTAAGGCAACAAACTAAACTAAACAATGTTAGTTACGGAAACTTTCAAAGGATTTTTATCATAAAACGACCGCAAGGCAAACGGCAATTTATCTAAGTCGGAACTTTGTCCGCTACTTACAACACTACTTAACATCTTTAATTCTTATATAAAGTCTCAACATCTAACAATTGTTATCAAGCGGTGTCTTTTATACATCCTTATCATTTAATCATAATATTACGATAAAGGGTTCCTACGTTAAGTAAGTAAACTAAAATAATATTAGAACTTAAATAATGTGTGCGTTTGTCGGGCTCGTTGGTGTAACGCCATTGTCAGGCTAACGATCAACGGGGCGTGGATTCGACAACATTTTCGAATCTATTTAGAAATGATCTGAAACATGTTGGATTTTTTCTGGAAATTTGGATATAAAAGTGGTAAGAATATCGAAATTTTATCCGAGTCCTGAACCACCGTCAGATAAAAAAGGCGTCAAGTCGCGTTTCAGTTTCAGTCTTTTGATTTCCGAATATCCAAAGCCAAAATAGGTTAACAACACATCTTGTTTGAAGTGTCGTTCTTTATCAGAAAATAACAGTAGGAAATAGGTAATTTCGTTTTACGCGAGATACAAGGAAGATAAGCTATTAATTTGCCCACATGGTTTAAGAAGCCTATATTATTACATATCCGATGCATATGAGCTATCTTTATAAGCTACTGAACCATGCACTGTATAGCTTTTTCTAAGCATAAACTGAGTATTATACCTAAACTTCAAATTAATAATATTTGTTTGCGTGTAAGCGTTAACGCAAAATCTTTGATTATAAGCATACAGCACATTATCGAAGTGGGAACAATAAAAGCATTATCGAGGTTAAGTCACCGATCCCATTGACTACACATCCAAGAAATACAATGGAGCGGTCTCACAAAACACTCATTCAATAGAAAACTGAATGCGTGCTCCTGTTCCGTACTTCAAGATTAATCTCTTTGAAGACGCCGCCAATCAAATGAAAAGAGAATTAAACCGTAGATTGCCACCGTCGGGTCGAATAAGGATGTGTTTTAAAATAATAATGATTCGGTGTGCCACATAACAACACTATTTCGTGTAAGGCGAATTCCGAATCTCAGCTTGAACTATCTGTCTATTATACTGTCTATAGTTTACGCGAGTAGTACACATTTAAATAAACACTTTAACGGTTTAAAACGCGATATAATAGTTAAACTTATTTGAGAATTATTTTAACTACGGCCCGACGTTTCGGATGCTTTGCAGCAGCCGTGGTCACGGGGAGACCGGGGAGATTATGTATGTTTTAGTTTATCATTTTTTTAATAGAGGAGGACAAGCAAGGGGTCACTTATTGTTAAGTGAAAAACTCCAGCTGTATAATATTTAACGGAGGTGCGCTGTCGACCTGTTATTGGCTTTGGACATTCGGAAATTCATAGATAAAAGCCGAAACGAGATTAAACTTGACTGCTTTTTCATCTGTGGACGGTAGTTCTAGATTAGAAAATTGATGGACCCGGTGGGGACCGAACTCATGAGCCGTTGATTATATGCCGACCAATACTAGTGTATTTGTTAGTACGAGCCCGTCGAAAATTGTATTTGATGTAGTTATTTATTTTTATACACACCAGTAAGCTCGTCAGCATCCACATCTCTTGTTACGAGTACAGCAGCAGCCAGCGCAGCAGGAACTCCCCAAGCAGCTAGTTGCAGCAAAGACGAGTGTCTGTCGTTGCGAGCGGTAGCAGGGGTCGTGGGGGGACGTAAGACGCTCGCTCGCCATGCTCCAGCAACAACTACCCACCTGAAAAATATAGGAAGACTATCTTTAGAAACTGAATGATATTTTAGTAAAAATAATACAATTTAACTGGTTTGAACGTGATTTATACGGGCTCACGGGTTCCTTATTAACAAATGAATATAACAAAGGAAAAAAATCGCGTGTTTGAGTTATTTATATTTTCATAGTCTAAAAATGTTAATCTACAAGAGCACAGTGACCGAAAATTGTTAACGTAATTCTTACACAAATAATACAAATTTATTATTAATTTAATAGCGCCTTTTTGTTTTCCTCCTTATTGAAAATCATGTTTTTTGTTATTAGGCCACTCTGCCTTTAGCAGTCTCAATTTTTTTTAAGTTGCCATATTAAATAGTTTACGAATTCAAGTACGTAAATACTCGAGCGTACAGTAAGGTTGGCAGCCATTAAGTGTTCGGATCAAAATTACTTAAATTCTACTTAACAATCAGCTGTAAAGACAGGTGGTGAGAACGGTGGTCCCATATTGGGAAAATTACTAACAATTTCTGTCGACTTGTTTGTGAAGGGAATGGTCATGAACATCTTTAATTGCACGAAATAAAACTCATTTCTTAGGTCTAGTTTTTTCCATATACGAATATGCTAAAAATACATAACCATAGTACTTAAACTGTAATTATTATGGATTCGACTACCGCAAAATATAAAAATCGAGTCCGATAAACTAGTTACTTTATTACACAGAAATGTGTCCGTTCCATATCGCGCGAAGGAATACATTTCACACATTTTTTTACGTTTATATAACTACATATTATAAGTGTATAGGAATTGCTCTGAGCGGATCTCATTGAAGTTAGCTCGCTTTCCATCAAACATTCTATAGCTTAGCTTGGCATCATTCTATGGTTAATAACAGTTCTTACTGCTGCCTCTTAAGGATCCTTTGAAGCTACCGGTAGAATCTTACGGCCGTAGGTGCAGAGGTATTTAAACAGTTAATGGCTTGCCAAACTAGTTCTCGCTGAGAATATTGATTTCTGAAGGGCTTAAAAGAATATCGATAGTTTTTAAGCGTGTCAAGACACAAGCTTAAAAACTATCGATATTCGTGTTATACACGTAGTCAAATTGTTACAATCGATTTATCATCTTCAATAAACAATTGTAAGTGCTGTCTGTAGTTTTCGCGAGTACACATTTAAATACTTAAGTTCTTTAACGGTTTCACCTTATTTAAAATTTACAGCCGTGGTTACGGTCTACTCCTAAATTTTGCGTTTTAAACCGTTAAAAGATTTTTTATTAAATTATAAAACAACAAATAAATTTACAACAGTTCTTGTTTTAAAATCCATAGGATTCGTGTGAATTACAATCTTAGCCGACCCTTACTTAGCTCGTTAAAAGCTGTGACAAGTAAATCCTTCTAAGGAACACGAAAAGGTGTTGTTTGCGGTGTGCGTTCGCCACCTTAAGTAGACCCGTGGCATTTGAGCGTGCCTCGAGATAAAAGAAAGGGCCTAAGGAACGCCGGGGTGACGCTACGCTGGCGAAAGGACCCCGCGGTGGCGTGTCGCTAGCACTTGAACAAATAACGCCATGTATTTGAACAGAACCGAAAGTGGTGATAGTCCAAACACTGGAATGTTTGTTCGCCCGCTGGCGTGTTTGATCCGGCATCCGACGCCAGTACTGTTGGCCGAAATTCTATTAATGTTTGTATCATTTGCATTGTTATAATTAGGCTCTCGTTTTGAGCGGCGTTTCAAGCGTTCCTCTTCTGCGCTTCGATAGAACTAAACGCAATCGTAAATTGTTTTAACTTGTTATTATCGCACTGTCTTTTATATAAGATGTTCTCTCTCTAACGTCTACCGTGGTCTCCGAAGCACGGGGGTAGTGATATTTACATCTGAACATCGAGCTATTAAAATATTTTTTTTCTCAGAAAGATTTGTGATTTGGCCCAACGAGAAAAATCAGTCTTTTATGATAGAGGAAGACAAGAATAAGGGTTCACTTCATGGAAGGTCTAAACAAGATGCGCTGTCGTATTTTGGCTTTGGCTATTCAGAAATCCACAAACCTGCTAACGGGGAAATTAAGCGTTGTTTTGACATCTTGAAATAAGAGCATATTTTGAACAGGACGAACAGAAACGTGTAATCGAGCTTATCGATTCGAGTACATGTACGCGAGCATAAAAATATGCAAATGTTATTACGACAAGGCGCGAACCGACGGGACGCTTTCGACGTTTATTTTTTCTCATTCCAGCCGGCGTCATGTCGTGCACCAAGTGGCCATTAAACGATAATGCTATCTGGCTGGAACGATTGCTTTCACGCTATAAAGTTATATTTTTAAAAGCCAAATACGATTCTCGAAATATATGTAAGACAACAAATGTAAATTCCGTTATTCAACTGTTTTGTTTATTGGTTTACATTATCAGCACTTTAGTGAGAGAATCGTGTTTAACCAGAATTCAATGTAAGTATGAAAAAATAGCATTGGTAGGAACTGCCATTAACGAGCCCACACACGAAACGCGGATCGTTATTGTTTTCATTTCTAAACCTTCCGTCGTAAACGCTAACATGATATACGAGTATGGTTGTTCCTGTTTAAATTTTCGGCTCGGCTTGCCGATAATTTGAAAAGATTGGGCTAAATTATTGACACGCAAACGGCGCGTAATATTCAGGCTCGTAAAATGTTATATTTGGGTAGGCTTATAACACTTTTGAAGAAAACATTTACTTTACAGAAGACACGACTATTCTGAAAATACCGAGAGTTAGGACGAATTGAGATCTGTATTTAAAAATACGATCAATATCACGCAGTGTCATTATCAGAGTGAGAAGATAAGATAAATAACGACGATCGTGTGGGAAAAGAGTGATTACAAAAATCAGGTAGACAGGTAGTTATGACAGACAGTGTATTAAAAGAAAAAATATTTTCTGTCGGAGGCATTATATTTAGTAGGGCAGGACTACAGTTTACAGAAATTATCCACTATTTCACCCATTCCTTCTCCCGTCTTCGCGAAGGATGTTAGGTTCTTGTTCTTCTACAAAACCTTTTTTATAGTTCAACTCATGACGCTTACCGGTTGAAATAAATTATTTAAGTATAAGAGTACAGAAGAAATAAGACTTGAATGCAATAAGAAATTCCAAGTAACCATTGTATCTATGTATTAAAAATATAGATACTCATTTTAAACATGAAAATAAGCAGTTTAGCCAAAACTAAGGAATTATATATAATAGATATGTTAGTTATTTACATGAGTCTTAGTTCATATGTTGAAAATAGTCTAGATTCCATGTATGGAACCGGCTGCTTGTCGATTTCCGTATGTAATTAAGCTAATTAGGTACACATCCAGTTCCCGACTAATAACGAGATGCATACGTTGAAGGGACCGCGTTTATTTCTGGAGCTCGTAAAATCGATTATCCGATTCGGGTACGACTTTGGGCGTCTGCTGCGCGCGCGCAAGCAACAGGATGCACTATTTCTGATCATGCTTTGACAGAGATCTGTGCTCGGAATTAATGTGCCGATTCTAAAATTGAACTGCTATAAAACGGAAATAAAATATATTACGACCGCGCTCTGAAAGATTTAGTAGGCTGTAAGATGTAAAGGAAGCATTAGGCAACATTAGGTTTTTTGACCTAAATGATCTATTCGTTGATGAATAGTCTACTAATTATATAATAAGTGAAATTTAAAAAGTAACTGTACCTACAATCATTTTTAGAGCACGTAACAGGTTTAAATGCAAAATATTTTCTATTTTTTAAATAAGCTAATTCTGCTGTATTCATCTATTACAATTAAACGGAAATAAAATTATGACTATTTACTTAAAATAAAGCATTATATTTGCTTTAAGTAATTGACAATGACTCGGTTTTTCCGTCAGTAAATTATTGTTTTCGATATCTAAATCCGTCTATTAAGATAATAAATTTTATAAATAGTATTATAATTAATGAAGTAGATTATAAAAACGGGGATTAGTTGTCTGTGCTATGTTTTATTACTTTATCTTTGGCGAAACACTGGAAAGCCAAACAAGTTCACAACAGGTGTCTAAATATGGACGTAGTTAAGTCGAACAGACCACCACATTTTATTGACCATTGTATATTGACTTTCCATTTAGTTAATATAGAATACAGAGGGGTATTTAGCACGAAAAACCAGAGCTCTAATGTTTTTGGATGGTATATCGGATGGTATATTCCATCAACGACTCGGTCATGTTTTATTAATGTTTTTTGAAAGAAGAATATTCGTATTACTTAAGGGCCATACACGGAGGCATTATTTTCTTAACAGTATCAAGGCTTGGGAAGATATTTCGCTCTTTAAACCGTTGAATTATGTTTTAGGGATGGGTTGCACTTCGTTTCACATTCCGACGTGGTTGAACCGAAATTCGGCAGATTTAACAGAACTAATGTATCTCAAAACAGGCCAAAATTCGGAACAAAAAAAAATATGGGTACTAGAAATATCATTATAGTTTATACATATATAATGAAGCTATTTTATTTTATTTAAAGTTTAGACAATTTCATGTAATTATGTAAAGAGATTTCTTTTTACTGCACAACTAAGGTGGAGTCTGTGCCCCACGTACACTTAACAAATAATTAAAAGCTAATTCTATTCTTTACCAGAAATGCAAACCGTAATTCGGTTTCAGTTCAAACCGCACGGCCCATCTCTAGTTTGTATGTACCGGAATGCAGATCGATTATATCTGTCGCACCTTGTTCAATTTATACGGTGAATTATTAATGTGGATTTATGCTCTTGTCAAGCTGGATGCAGATTGGAGGGCTCGTTCGTGAAACTAATTACAGCTGTCAGAGTGAATCATCGTCGTTATTATTTTAACTGACTCTTGCGCAGCCAAAAGCGTAAGTATGTATGTTCTTGTTCTGATGCTTAAAATATTGATGTCGAGATAATTGTACAAATACTAACATAGATTGAAATTC